TCAGCCCTGAGCATCACTGGGTGGGACCCAAAAAGCAATCAATCAATCAATCAATCAATCAAGAGTGATGAACCAGGGACCTGGGCAATAGCACAGCAGGTAGGGCGTTTAAATAAATAAAATAATAAAAAAATAAAAATTAAGAAATAAATAAAAAATAAAACACAAACAGGGGTCAGAGCGATAGTCCAGCAGGGAGGGCGTTTGCCTGGCACGCAGCCGACCCGGGTTCGATCCCTGGCATCCCATAGGGTCCCCCGAGCACCACCAGGAGTGATTCCTGAGTGCAGAGCCAGGAGGAACCCTGAGCATCACCGGGTGGGACCCAAGAAAGAAAGAAAGAAAGAAAGAAAGAAAGAAAGAAAGAAAGAAAGAAAGAAAGAAAGAAAGAAAGGAAGGCTGGAACGATAGCCCAGCAGGGAGGGCGTTTGCCTGGCACGCGGCCGACCTGGGTTCGATCCCTGGCATCCCATAGGGTCCCCCGAGCACCAGTCAGGAGTGATTCCTGAGTGCAGAGCCAGGAGCCAGCCCTGAGCATCGCCGGGTGGGACCCCCAAAAAAGCAAAATAAAAAAAAAAACACAAAGAAACGCCAATATCATCCTTAAACGTTTTGTATATTGATGCGGAACTGATTAAAAAAAAAAAGGCGCGGGGTCCGGGTAGGGGGTCAGCGGCACAAACATCTTAGGCCCCCATCACGCCGGCGGCGGGCTCCCCTCCCAGTGGGCAGACCCCCAAAGCACGAGGAGGAGAACCCGAGGTCCCCAGGGCCCCCGTCCTTGGGGCTGTGGGAAGCAGGATGCGATGACGTCAGCGGGTCACGGGGAGCACTACAGGGCAGGGAGCACGGCCGGACAAGGGGCCAGCTCTGGGCAGAGCCCGGGGATTGGGGTTTTCCACCAAAGTCCCCCAGAGCCCAAGGGACCCGCACGGGGAAAGTGGTCACCCCACAGATGCCCTGGGGAACCCCACCCGCCGGGGACGCCAGCCGGGAGGAAAAGTCCAGAACCAGGACGTGGAGAGCGGGAAGGAGGGTCCGGAGGGGACCGGATGGAGGGAAGCAAGGCAGGGGAGGGTGCGGGGTTTGAGGAAGGGAGCCCCAAGTTTGCTCTGCTCCGCTCAGAGCCAGCCTGGCCCAAGATCTAGAAAGTTCTGCCCAGCCCCTGGGTGCTCCCAAGCTGTGCTCACTGTGGCCTTTGGTCACTGTTGACCCAAATGGACAATGGAGACACGCCCACTCGGGCTGTCCAGGGGCAGGCGGGCCCTTGGGGGGCCACAGGGGGTTCAGTGTCCTGTTTCCCTAATGGGGCCCCTAAGATTTGACCTCAAGGGGGCAGGGGTCAGAGGGGTCAGAAGGGGTGGAAGGTGGTGGAATTGGGGCGCGGTCCCCAGCAGGTGCTAACCCCAAAGGGCCCCCAATATACTGCCCTGTTCCCCCACTTCTGCATGTCGATTTTCTTTTGTATTATCAGGTTGTTCTCAGCACTGGTCAGGGCTGACTCCCGGCTCTGTGCTCAGGGCTGACTCCTGGCTCAGTACTCAGGGCTGACTCCCGGCTCTGTGCTCAGGGCTGACTCCCGGCTCTGTGCTCAGAGCTCACTCCTGGTGGGGAACCTTACGGGGTGCTGGGGATCCATCTCAGGTTGGCCCTGTGCCAGGCAAGCGCCCTCCCTGCTGCCCTTCCCCCTCTGGAGAAGAACTTGAGGCTCGGCCCCCCTCCCCGCGCTCCCCCTGGGTGTGAGAGGTCGACATACACCGAGATTGTGTGGAAGCCAGTAGAACGCCGGGTTCCAGGGGAACGGGGCTGTGGGGGGCATTCACAGCAGCCTTCCCCAAAATAGCAGCTCCCAACCCACCTACCTGCGGGGAAGCGAATTGGGGATAAATGGGGCGAACTTCAAAAACTTTCTGCTTGGAAACCCCAGCAGCGGTTACCATGGCAACCAGGAGGCAGGTGGCGCGGGAGGTGGCAGCTCGGGTTCCTGGCTGGGTGCAGTGTCCCCCGCCGGGCTCCTGGCTGGATTCAGTTCCCCCCACTGGGCTCCCGGCTGGCTGTAGTGTCCCCCTCTGGGCTCCTGACTGGTGCAGTGTCCCCTGCCGGGCTCCTAACTGGGTGCAGTGTCCCCCCACCGGGCTCCAGGCTGGGTGCAGTGTCCCCCCACCCTCGCCAGGCTCCCGGCTGGGTGCAGTGTCCCCTGCTGGGCTCCTGACTGGGTGTAGTGTCCCCTCCCACCGGGCTCCAGGCTGGGTGCAGTGTCCCCCCTCCAGGTTCCTGGCTGGGTGCAGTGTCCTCTGCTGGGCTCCTGGCTGGATGCAGTGTCCCCCCACTGGGCTCCTGGCTGGATGCAGTGTCCCCCTCACCGGGCTCCTGGCTGGGTGCAGTGTCCCCCACCGAGATCCAGGCTCACTCCACAGCGTCCTGTGTTGACTGGGAGGTGTCTATGGATTGGGCATCTGCAACCAGGCCCAGGGCAGGGGGTGGGGTGGGGGGTCCCGTTCTTGCCCCTTCCAGCAGGGTCTCCTGGGGGGGGGGAGTGTCTCTGTCTCGAGGTGCAAAAGGCAGAGAAGAAAAATCTCTGGTCACTGCTCAGGGATGCAGGAAGGAGGGAGCAGATGAGGCGGTTCCTTGTCTAGTCATGTTTGTCCGAACCTGTGGCCATCTGTCTGTCTGTCCTGTCCTCCTCTGCCTCCCTCTCTCTCCCTCTCCCTCTCTCTTTCTCTCCCTCTCTTCCCTCTCTCCCTGTCTCTCTCTCTGTGTCTCTCTCTGTCTCTCCCTCTCCCTTTCTCCTTCTCTCCCTCTCTCTCCCTCTTTCTCCCTGTCTCTCTCTCTCTCGCTGTCTCTCTGTCTCTCCCTCTCTCTCTCCCTCTCTCTCTCCCTCTCCCTCTCCCTTTCTCCTCTCTCTCCCTCTCCCTCTCTCTCATCTCTCCCTCCCTCCCCCTCTCTCCCTTTCTCCCTGTCTCTCTCTCTCGCTGTGTCTCTCTGTCTCTCCCTCTCTTTCTCTCCCTCTCCCTCTCTCCCTCTCCCTCTCTCTCCCTTTCTCCATTTCTCTTCTCTGTCTCTCTGTCTCTCCCTCCCTCTCTCCCTCTCCCTTTCTCCTTCTCTCTCCCTCCCTCCCTCCCTGTCGCTGTCTTGCTGTCAGCCCATGCTGGGGGTTGGTCACCTGGGTTCCCTAGATTCCCAGCAAGCAGGGGTCTGACCCAACCACGACCGCCCCCACCCGCATCATCCCCACTTGCCTGGATCCAGCTTCTTTCTCCGCCTCCCTCTCCCCCGTTGCATTTCCCGCTTTCCCTCCCAGACCAGCTGTTGCTGCTTTTGCTCCCGGAGTCAGTTGAGCCTCAGTGGGTTGGAGGGTTGGGGGAATCTCCTGCTCCTCTTTTCAAATCCTGAGACTTCTACACCTCACTGAAGAAGACAAACTTTTTGTTCGTTTGGGGGCCACACCAGTGCTCAGGATTGACTCCTGGTTCTGTGCTCAGGAATCACTCCGGGTGGTGCTCGGGGGACCCTATGGGATGCCGGGGATCGAACCTGGGTCAGCCGCGTGCCAGGCAAACGCCCTCCCCGCTGTGCTATCGCCCTGGCCCCAAAGAAGACAAACTTAGACCTAAATCCACGAGAAACCCTCTCCTTCCCTTACTGCCTAGCAAGGCCGACCTCCAGTTTCATGCTGACGCTGTTCTAGAATCTTCTGTGTACTTGGGAGTGCTGGGTTGTGAGGTAGAAAAAACCCTGCTGAAAGTCAGGCGACCACAGCCAATAAGCACAACATTAAAGGGCATCACACACTCCCCCCTGGCTTAATTAGGGGTGGCCCAGTCATCTGGAACACTGTCCCTTGAAGTTCGCTTCTTTTTCTTTGAGCTCAGGTCTTTTTTTTTGTTTTGTTTTGGGTCACACCCGGCGATGCACAGGGGTTCCTCCCGGTTCTGCATTCAGGAATTACCCCTGGCAGTGCTCGGGGGACCTTATGGGATGCTGGGAATCGAACCCGGGTCGCCGCGTGTAAGGCAAACGCCCTACTCGCTGTGCTATTGCTCCAGCCCGACCTCAGGTCTTTTGGAAGGTCTGGAAGCATCTCTGTGTGGGGATTGGTTCCATGAGAACATGGACCTATATCTGGGCCAAGAGAACGCTGAGTTGCTAAGACAGGTTTCAGAGACCCCTCCAGAGACTAGGATTCTAATGGGAAGAGAAGGTGTGGGGGAGGGGGGCAGAGGAGCCTGAAAAAAAAAACAGGGGGCTGGAGCAATAGCACAGCGGGTAGGGCGTTTGCCTTACACGCGGCGACCCGGGTTCAATTCCCAGCATCCCATATGGTCCCCTGAGCACCGCCAGGAGTGACTCCTGAGTGCAGAGCCAGGAGTAAACCCTGTGCATCGCCGGGTGTGACCCAAAAAGCAAAAAAAAAAAAAAAAAAACCCTGATAATTCTAAGCACTGTCAGGTGTGGCCCCCAAACCAAACACAGGCCAACAAAAGCCGGAAAACCTGATAAAATTCCTTGAGTTCCGGCTCCAACTCTAGTAGAATCAGCCCTGAGCATGCCAAAAGTCTCCTGGCTCACACTAGATGCTCAAGAAGGCCCCCTTGGAAAAGTTAGGGTACCAGCAGGGGCGGGGCCGCGGGTCCCTAAGCCACGCCCCCTTTAATAGCAAAGCCACGCCCTCGGGGCGGCCCCGCTCTCTCATTGGTCGGCGGCGCCCCGTTCCGTCCCGCCCCCCTCGGGCTCCAGGCCCCGCCCCCTCACTCCCGCAAGCAGCCCCGCTCTCTCATTGGTCGGCGGCGCGCCGTGCCCCGCCCCCTCGGGCTCCAGGCCCCGCCCCCTCGCTCCCGCGGGCAGCCCCGCTCTCTCATTGGTCGGCGGCGGCGCGGCTCCGCCCCGCCCATCCCGGCGGAGGCAATAAAAGCCTCCTTGGCATCCCGGCGCGCATCCTTTGGTCCTGCTGTACCCTGCCCGTGCCAGGCGCCCCCCAGTGTCCGCCTCCACTTTCCTGGCCGCCACCACCGTCCCCTCCACGTGTCTGCCCTGCGCCCGTGGCCATGTGCAGGACCCTGAGCGGCTTCCCCACCACCTGCCTGGAAAGGTAAAGGGGCATTTGAGGGGGCGCTGGAGCCGTGGAGGGGCAGGGGTCCACCTGTGTCCACGCTCTCAGCTTCTTGGCCTGGCTGCTGGGTCCCGGCGGGGTGGACGGGGCTGAGAGCAGCTCCGCTGCTCACTCCCCCCAGGGGTCGCCCAGCCTGGGGGGGGGGGGGGACTGGCCCAGAGACAGAGAGAGAAAAAAAACCGCGGAGCTGTCCGGGAATACCAGCCCCCCAAGGAGGGCGCAGAGGTGGAGACTAAACGCGCCCCCCGAACCCCCATCCCACCCCTAATGCCACTTGCCTTGGCTATCAAGGCATGCTCGGGGCCATCCCGAAGCCCCCTGGGGAAGAATCTGGAGGCTGGAAATGGGGGGGAGGGGTGAGCGCAGGATGGGGTCGGGGTGGGGCGGGCAGGGCTGTGCCCGTGTTTGAGGTGGGTCCCGTGACCCGTGACCCGTGGGTGTTTTTGCCTCGCAGAGCTAAGGAACTCAAGACGCGCCTGGGGACCCTCCTGCAGAAACCAGACCCCGGCAGGCTCCCAGGAAGCAGAAAACGGAGCAAAGAAGGGTGAGTGCTGGGGAGGGCGGGAGGGGCAGGATTTGGGGAGGGGGGTGGTAGGGGGATGGAGGGGGGTGGGATCTTCAGAGTTAGGCATCACCAGTTTGGTCCCGGGGAGACCCAGGTTCCAAGTGCGCTGACCCGAGAGTGAATCTACCCCAGGACCCCCGGCTGGAGTTGTTTTTTGCTAATCCAAAGGGCTGGGGGGCACGGATGGAGTCCCCCCAATTCAGAGCGCACTGGTTCCAAATGCCTTTTCTCCTGATCTATTCAGGGGCTGAGGGGAGTATGTGAGAACTCACCCCTCTTTTTTGGGGAGGCCACACCTGGTGGTGCGTGGGGGGGTGCTCCAGGCTCAGTGCTCAGGGATGGAGCCCAGCCTCCTGCCTTCAGAGCCTGTGCTCGTCTCCCCAGTAGTCCCCCCAGAACCTGCCGAGACAGCAAAAATGCCGCCTGCTGGAGCCCAGCCAAGACCCAGAGGGGTCTGAACTTCCGGGACCCAAAGAAAAACCCACCGCCCCTAAGAAAAACTACCACCACAATCACCCCTAGCCCCAGTCCTGAGTTTGAGGATTCAGATCCACTCCCTGTGTTTATACTCGGAGGGACTCGCCCAGCTCCTGTTGGACTTTGATATGGTTGGGTTTTTTTGGGGGGTCCCACCTGGTGATGCTCAGGGCTGACTCCTGGCTCTGCACTCAGGGATCACCCCTGGCAGTGCTCGGGGGACCCTATGGGATGCGGGGATCGAACCTTGCACGCAAAGCAAGGGCCCCTCCCTGCTGTCCTATCTCTCCAGTCTTTTCTTTAAAAACAAAACCAAGGGGCTGGAGCGATAGCACAGCGGGGAGGGCGTTGGCCTGGCACGCGGCAGACCCGGGTTCGATCCCCGGCATCCCCTAGGGTCCCCCGAGCCCCGCCAGGAGTGATTCCTGAGTGCAGAGCCAGGAGTCGGCCCTGAGCATCGCCGGGTGTGACCCAAAAAGCAAAATAAAAAACAACAACAACAAAATGAAACAAAACCAAACCAGCCTCAATCCGGCCTTTGTTGGTCTTTGGCAGAAACTGCTCAAATGCTCTGCGCTGGAGAGAGTCCTTTGACGCGCTTCTGAGTGACCCGAGTGAGTAGCGACCCCTGGGGGCGTCCGTGGGGGTTGGGAGGGTTTGGGGGAAGGGCCCCCCCTCCGCGCCCCCCGCCCCCCCCCCCCCCCCCCCCCCGTGCAGGAGTGTGCGTCCAGGTGCCTTAGGGCTGAGAGCGCCTCTGAACCAGTAGCTCTGTGGTCCCTACAGCCCCCAAACACAAAGGCGGGTGCTCCCTGGAGATCATGCCCCCCACCCCCCCCAAGCAGAGCTGTTCAGTGACCAGCTGTCACCTGACCTGCATTTCCTCTCGTCCACCCAGGCGGGGTGGCCGCCTTCCACGCCTTCCTCAAGACGGAGTTCAGCCAGGAGAACCTCGAGTTCTGGCTGGCCTGCGAGGGCTTCAAGAAGATCCAATGCCGAGCCAAACGGGAGGCCCAGGCCCACTGCATCTTCCAGGAGTTCGTGTCCTGCGAAGCCCCCAAAGAGGTCAGAATCCCAGAATTCCAGACCCCCGTCTGTCTACTCCCCTCGCCCACCCCCGACCCCGCCAATAACTCTGTGTGTGTGTTTGTGTTTGTGTGTGTGTGTGTGTGTGTGTGTGTGTGGCAAATAGACCCCACAACGGCGTTGGCTTAAGCCTGGGGGGTACCCACTGCCGGGACCCCCAGACTCAGGTTTGACCCAGTGATGGGTTTTTTTGCTGGACCCTGGCAAACCCTAACTTTGTAAATTTTGTAACCCTTTTATTTTTTATTTCTTGCTTTATTTAATTAATTAATTTATTTATTTTGCTTTTTGGGTTCCACCTGGTAATGATCAGGGCTGACTCCTGGCTCTGTACTCAGGAATCACCCCTGGCGGTGCTCGGGGGACGCTATGGGATGCCGGGGATCGAACCCGGGTTGGCCGTGTGCCAGGCAACCGCCCTGCCTACTGTGCTATCGCTCCAGCCCCTTATTTATTTATTTTTTAAATAAAAAATGTTTTGTTCTTGTTTTTGGGATCACACTCAGCTGTGCTCAGGGCTAACTCCTGGCTCTGTGCTCAGGACTTGGGGGGGCTTGAGTTTTAGGGGGGTCCCTGAGTCACGGGCTTGGGGGACCCTGTGGTGTGCCAGGGATTGAACCCCCATGGGCCACATGCAAGGGGAGAGCCCTACCCACTGTGCTATCTTCCCCAGCCCAACTGTGCTCCTTTTATTTTTGTTGGTTTTTTTTTTTTTTTTTTTTTTTGCTTTTTGGGTCCCACCCAGCTATGCTCAGGGCTGACTCCTGGCTCTGCACTCAGGGATCACTCCTGGCGGTGCTCAGGGGACCCTCGGAGATGCTGGGGATCGAACCCGGGTCGGCCGCGAGCACGGCAAACGCCCTCCAGCTGTGCTCTGGCTCCAGCCCCTTAGAGACTGGAACATTTATGCCATTTCGAGGAGAAAGCCCTCGGAGGGGCCCTGATTGACCTGGCCTGACCCCGCCCCACCTTCCCCCTGCAATGCTCCCCCCCACGACCCCCACCCACCCGGGCCTGGGTTGTTGGCCCGTGGGCCTCAGCTTATGAGCAGGGACAGGGCATCCCCTAGTGGCGAGTCTGCAGTACTGCCCCACTCTGGCCTTTGGGTGCTTGTGGGAGGGAATTACGGTAATTTCTTTTTCCTTTTTGACTTTTTGGACCACAACTGGCGATGCTCAGGGCTGACTCCTGGCTCTGCACTCAGCGATCACTCCTGGCAGTGCTCGGGGGACCCTAGGGGATGCCGGGGATCGAACCCGGGTCGGCCGTGTGCCAGGCAAACACCCTCCCCGCTGTGCTATCGTTGCGGCCTCAAATTACCGTAATTTCATGACTGAAGGTCACCGGGGCTGCGGGGGTGGGGCCCAAGGATGGTTTGCACGTGGATGGGGACCCCAGCTGGGCTTTGAGATGATGAGGGAAGAGGAAGGCCGAGGACAGGACAGGGCCCTGGGGTGGGGATGGGGGGGAACAGACCACCCCCGGACCCCTGTGCATCTGCTGACCTGTCTCTTTTGGGGTGTCCTTGTCCCCAGGTGAACCTGGACCACGAGACGCGGGAGCTGACCAGAGCCGGCCTGCAGGCCACCCCCGGCACCTGCTTTGACGTGGCCCAGGCCAAGACCCGCGTGTTGATGGAAAAGGACTCGTACCCCCGATTCCTGCGCTCCCCTGCCTACCAGGACCTGGCGGCCCGCGCCTGCCCCCCGCCCCCCTCGCAAAGCTGAGCCATCCCGAGTTCCAGCCCCGACGGGTGCCACCCCGGTCTTGAGTGACGGACAGGAAGGACCCTCCCCACCACGTCCCCCCAGAGATTGGGGCCGAATTTCAAGCCTGAAGGGTCCCCCTTGGGGGTCTGGGGACCTGGACTTTCATTTTTCCATTCTACTGTCCCAGAGGGGCCCAGACTGCACCCCTCAAGGCGGTGCTGGAGCCTCCCTGGCCCTGAGCACCTCCGGAGTTTGCCGCTGAGGGTCTAAAAGAGTCTGTGTTCTGGGGAGGTTGCCAGCAGCCCCCCCCCCCCCCAAATCAGGCCACTGTTCTCGGTGGATTTGGGGACCTGGAAAGAGGGACCAGAGGCCGGAGCAGTGCACAACGGGGATGGCGTTGGCCTCACACGCATCTGACCGGGTTCGATCCCCGGCATCCCATAGGGTCCCCCGAGCACCGCCAGGCGTGATTCCTGAGTGCAGAGCCAGGAGTCAGCCCTAAGCATCGCCGGGTGGGACCCAAAAAGAAAAAAAAAAGAGCCTCCCTGTCCCTGGACGGGTGTCCTCCTGTGGGCCTTTTGTGGCAGGTCCCCATGCCCCTCCCCCCCAGTCCCCTGGGGAAATAACGCTCTTGTCTCCTGGGACACAGTGACTGGAGTTTGACGTGTTGGCTGGGATGCTATCTTCGTTATGCAGCTGTTATTTATAATGGTCAGTTTCTCTTCTCGGGAGGAGCCGGAACCCGGTGTCCACCCCCCCACACACCCCCACTACCTCTGTGGGTGCCGGGAGCTCCCCTCTCCCATCCCCAGCCCCCCTCGTGGGTGATCCCTTATTTATTGGCGCCACCCGGAACTGGTTTCCTGGCCGCGGTGAGGTACTTGATTCCTATTTTATTCTTGTAAAATAAAAGTGAAAAACGTCAACCAGGAGTTCTTGTCTGTGGGTGCTCGGAGGATGATGGGGGAGGCCGGGGGGGGGGGGGGGCGCAGGGCAGATGGGGGAGGCAGCTGGTAGCCCACGGCGGGAGGGAGGGGGCATAGGGCAGGGGGAGTGGGAGGATTTGGGGCTGTTCTCCAAGGATCGAAAGCTATTCTCTCTCTCTCTCTCTCTCTCTCTCTCTCTCTCTCTCTCTCTCTCCCACCCCATAATCGTCCTAACCTACTTTTATCAGTCCCCAAATTTGTTGGTAACCTGAAAAACACTTTGGGGCCAGAGCGACAGCACAGCGGGGAGGGTGTTGGCCTGGCCCGTGGCCGACCTGGGTTCGATCCCCAGCATCCCATAGGGTCCCCCGAGCACCGCCAGGAGTGATCCCTGAGTGCAGAGCCGGGAGTCAGCCATGAGCATCGCCGGGTGGGACCCAAAAAGCAAATAATAATAATAATAATAATATCTGGTCCATCACCCAGTTCAGCACCTTGATCAATATCTAATCCATCCATAAGGGCTGGAGCGATAGTACAGTGGGTAAGGCATTTGCCTTGCACGCAGCTGACCCAGGTTCGATTCCCAGCATCCCATAGGGTCCCCCGAGCACCGCCAGGAGTGACCCCTGAGCATCACCAGGTGGGACCCAAAAAGAAAAAAAAAAGAATAAAAATCTCAGCCAAGCTCGACTCACGAGGAATCAGTGTCCCCACTGACGGTCCAGTATGTGAGGGGCGGGTCCCCCTCCCCCTGCCGGCCGACTCAGTTTCTCTGAGTCCATTGCACCCTCTAGTGGCCAGGAACCGCCGCCCAAGAACGCCAAGGGTGCTCAGTAAGTCCTGGCTGGGTCACTGCTGGAGAATCGGGTCTCCAGGGAGGTCGGAGCTGCCCCTGGGAGCCCGTGGTGGGGAGCAGAGCTGCGTGTGCTCTGGGCCACAGCAATCAAACGGGGGCGGCTGGCGGTGCTCTTGGCACAGTTGCAGTGCCCTTTGCCCGGGGCGGGACCGAGTCTGGGCGCCAGTGCCAGCCCGGCCTCCCTCCTCCTGTCCCCTCTCTTTGGTGGGTCCTGCTGGCCACCATCTCTGGAGCAGAAAGAGCCACTGCCTGGCTGCCGTTCCCAGGTAGGTTGAGCGTGAAAAGACAAGAAATTCTTCTTCTTCTTCTTCCAGAGATTCTAGAGCTCCCGGGGAGGGCTGGAGACTCAAAAGACCGAGAACTTGGCAGGAGCAGGTGGGCACAGAGCCAGGGTGCAGAGCGGGGGCAGGCTCCGGGCGCGGTGCTCGGGACTGAGTCCTTTCGAAGCTTCTGCCACAACCCGAGAGCCTCCCGTCAGGGTGATTCTGTTGATGAGGCTCTTGCCCTCAGAATCAGGAAGTGAAACCGAAAGTGATGGATCACTGGGCAGTTCTGTTGCATCTCCCAGGAACTGAATCTTTCTCCATCCTCCTCATGAGTTTTCTCTGATCTCTTTCACTTGTTCCATTCTGCCCCTTTGCTGGGGGGTGAGGGAGGCCACACCCACTCGGGGCTTGCTCCTTGTTCAGTGCTCAGAGGTCACCCCTGGAAGGGTCAGGCTCGGGGGTGGCTGGGGGTGGTCAAACCCAAGTCAGCCTGGTGCCAAGCTAGCCCAGTCCTCCCGGCTGCACTATTTCTTCCAACCGCTGCTCTGTTTTGGTTTTGGGTTCAGACCTGGCATCTCTCAGTGGGTACTCTTAACTCAGTGCTCAAAAGGAACCGTCAGGCGGAACCACGGATGGAAACTGAGTCTCTGTGTGCAGCAGAATCTAGGGGCTAGAGAGAGGGCAGGGTTGAAGCCGCTTGCTTGCACAAACTTGAGCCCAGTCTCGACCCCACCCCCAGCACTGTGTGGTTCCCCCGAGCACTGGACAGGAGTAAGCAGAGAGCTGGGAGTAGCCCCCAGAGCACTTGGGGCTGTGTGCCGCGCTCCCAAGAAAGAAAAAAAAAAACTATAGAAATTCAGTTAACTGTTAGCAACGTCTGTTTCTGGCAGTGAAACTGTATTATTATTATTGTTGTTGTGGTGGTGGTTATGAAATAGAAAGGTTTGTTGGAAAATTATCTTCACTGTAGGGGGGGAACTTAAGACTAAATTCTCTCTCTCTCTCTCTTAAAGGACATTGCTTTATTTTATTTATTTATTTTGCTTTTTGGGTCCCACCCGGTGATGCTCAGGGGTTCCTCCTGGCTCTGCATTCAGGAATCACTCCTGGCGGTGCTCGGGGGACCCTAGGGGATGCTGGGAATCGAACCCGGGTCGGCCACGTGCAAGGCAAACGCCTTCCCCGCTGTGCTATTGCTCCAGCCCCAAGACTAAATTCTCTTATTTATTTTATTTTGTTATTTTACTTTTGGGGGGTTTGGGACCACACCTGGCAGTGCTCAGGGCTGACTCCTGGCTCTGCACTCAGGAATCACTCCTGGGAGGTGCTCGGGGGACCCTATGGGATGCCGGGGATCGAACCCGGGTTTGCCGTGTGCAAGGCAAATGCCCTCCCCGCTGTACTATCAGTCTGGTCTCTCTCATAGTCTTTAAAAAGTACATATAGTCCTAATCTTCTGCAGTGATTTTTCTATCTATGACAAATGTCTTTCAAAATAATTTCTTGCAGGGGCTGGAGCAATAGCACAGTGGGGAGGGCGTTTGCCTTGCACGTGGCCAACCCGGGTTCGATTCCCAGCATCCCATAGGGTCCCCTGAGCACTGCCAGGAGTGATTCCTGAGTACAGAGCCAGGAGTAACTCCTGTGCATTGCTGGGTGTGACCCCCCAAAGCAAAAATAAATAAATGAATAACTGCTTGCAGAACAAGTTTCTCAAACCTTCCTTCCTCATTTTGAAAAGCCACAATTCCAGGAGGTAAGTGCAGCAGCAAATACCATCCCCAACCTCAGCAAAGCAAGTAAAAAAATCCCATTAAAAGACACAAAATGGCACGCGGCTGACCCAGGTTCAATCCCCAGCATCCCATGGGGTCCCCTGAGCACCGCCAGGAGTAACTCCTGAGAGCAGAGCCAGGAGTAACACCTGTGCATCGCCAGGTGTGACCCAAAAAGCAAAAAAAGACACAAAATAGGCTGGAGCAAAGACAGCAGGGAGGGTGTTGGCCTGACACGCGGCCAACCTGGGTTCGATCCCCAGCATCCCATGGGATCCCCCGAGCACAGCCAGGAGTGATCCCCGAGTGCAGTGCCAGGAGTCAGCCCTGAGCATCACAAAAAAAAAAAAAATGAGATAGATCAGGGGCTGAGCTATAGCACAGCAGGGAGGGCGTTTGCCTTGCATGCGGCTGCCCCGGGTTCGATTCCCAGCATCCCCTAGGGTGCCCTGAGCACTGCCAGGAGTGATTCCTGAGTGCAGAGCCAGGTACGCCCTGACCATCACTAGCCCCCTCCAGAAAGAAATGAGACAGATCAGGAATTCTGAGCACAGCAGGGAGGGCATTTGCCTTGCACACGGCCGCCCCTGGTTCGATCCCCGGCATCCCCTAGGGTCCCCCAAGCACCGCCAGGAGTGATTTCTGAGTGCAGAGCCAGGAGTCAGCCCTGAGCATCGCGGTGTGACCCAAAACGCAAAATCACAGACGTCAACTCAGCCACCTTTTTTGCAGGGCTGGAGACCCCCTACCCCGCAGGACAATCACCCCCCCACCCCAGCTCACTCCCCTTCTGCCTCGAGGGGGAGGATTTTCCGTGATCCCACCCAGAGTTCGTTTCTCCTCTGCTTCTAGGCGGGAGACGCCGGTGCCCGGGTCATGTCCACGCGCGACGGCGGCGCGGGGGCCGCCGAGCACGCCCTGTTCAACGCCGTGTTGCAAGAGGACGTGGAGCAGGTGAAGCGGCTGCTGGAGGCGGGGGCGAGCGTCAACGCGCAGGAGGCGGAGGGCGGCTGGGCCCCCCTGCACGCGGCCGTGCAGAACTGCCACGAGGAACTGGTGCACCTGCTGCTGGCGCACGGCGCGGACCCGCTGCAGTGCAAACGGAACGGGGCGACCCCCTTCATCCTCGCGGGCATCATGGGCCACGTGGGGCTGCTGGACCTCTTCCTCTCCCGGGGCGCCCAGGTGGACGAGTGTGACCACAACGGCTTCACGGCGCTGGCCGAGGCGGCCACCTACGGCCACGTGGACGCGGTGCGCTTCCTGCACGCGCGCGGCGCCGACGTGAACCTGCGCCAGCGGAGCCGGGAGGAGCAGGCGAGGATGAGGAAGGGCGGGAGCACGGCGCTGATGCGCGCGGCCGAGCGCGGCCACGAGGCCACGGTGCGCGCGCTGCTGCTGGAACTGCACGCGGACGCGAGCGCGCGCGACAACTGTGGCCGCAACGCGCTCGTCTACGCGCTCCGGCACCGCGACGAGGCGCGCGTCCTGCGCATCGCGAGGCTCCTGCTGGCGCAGGGGGCGGACGTGAGGGTCCGCTGCGAGCGCGGCAAGACCCCCCTGCTGCTGGCCCTGGAGCAGAGGCACGAGCGCGTGGCCCAGATGCTCTTGGCGCAACCGGACATCGAGCTGGATGCCACCGACCGGGAACTGAATACGGCGCTGCTGGTGGCCGTGCGCTTGGAACTCAACGACGTGGTGGACCAGCTGTGCGCGCGCGGGGCCAACACCGACTGCGGGGACCTGGTGATGATGGCCAGGAGGAAGTACAACCGCGCGCTGGTGCAGATCCTCCGCCGGCACCGGGTCCGAGAAGATTTCCAGCTGCCCGCCGCGGACTGGAAACCCCAGAGCGCGCGCTGGGGGCGCGCCCTGACGCATCTCCACGGCACCTACCGGCCCCTGATCCGGGGCCTCAAGGTCTTCATCGACCGGGAGTACAAGATCGCCGACACCTCGGAGGGCGGCGTCTACCTGGGGTTCTACCAAGGGCGCGAGGTGGCCGTGAAGCGCTTCTACCAAGGCAGCGAGCCCGGGCAGCGGGAGGTGGCCTGTCTGCAGCGCCACCGCGAGCCCGGCCACCTGGTGACCTTCTATGAGAGCCAGGAGGACAGCGGCTGCGTCTTCGTGTGCCTGGCACTGTATGAGCACAGCCTGGAGGAGTACCTGCAGAAAGCCCCCGGCCAGGGCCCCGGCCAGGGGGAGGATGAGTTCGCCCGCTCCGTCTGCGCCTCTGTCTTCAAGGGGGTCTTGCAACTGCATCGCAGCGGCTACGCGCACCAGGACCTGCACCCGAGCAATGTCTTACTAGGTGAGTCCCCCGGAAATCCCAGGCAAAGTGCTCAGCCCGTGGACACGGAGAGGTCTAGAGGTCACATGGATGGTTGGGGCGGAGCCCTGAGACTGTAGTTAGGGCACCACGCAGATGCCAGGGAAAACACAGTTCAAGGCCCAGGCCCAGAATGCGGTTCTCCACAAGACGCATCTGCGGGAACTGCATTTTTGTGGTTGTTTGGGGGCCACAGCTGGCGATGCTCAGGGCTGACTCCTGGCTCTGCACGCAGCGATCACTCCTGGCGGTGCTGGGGATCGAACCCGGGTGGGCCACGTGCAAGGCAAACCCCTCCCCGCTGTGCTGTCGCCCCAGCCCTGTTCTTTTTTTTTTTTTTAAAGAATGAACTTGGAACTGAGAGCAAAAATAAAAAAGGACGTCTGACAGGGAAAAAAATCTCAGAGACACTAACCAGATGAAGAATGAGGCTTAAGGGGCTGGAGCAATCGCACAGCAGGGAGGGCATTTGCCTTGCACGCAGCCGACCCAGGTTCGATTCCCAGCATCCCCTAGGGTCCCCCGAGCACCGTCAGGAGTGATCCCTGAGTGCAGAGCTAGGAGTAACCCCTGAGCATCGCTGGATGTGACCCAAAAAAGCAAAAGAAAAAAAAATATGAGACTTAAAAAGGCTCAGAAGGGGCTGGAGCAATAGCATAGCAGGAAGGGTGTTAGCCTTGCTCACTGCCGACCCGGGTTCGATCCCTGGCAGCCCATAGGGTCCCCCGAACACCATCAGTAGTGATTCCTGAGTGCAGAGCCAGGAGGAAGCCCTGAGCATCTCCGGGTGTAACCTGAAAAGCAAAAAAGCAAACAAAGAAAACGTTTCCTGGGGCCAGAGTGATAGCACAGCAGAGAGGGCGTTGGCCTGGCACACGGCCAACCCGGGTTCGATTCCCGGCATCCCCTAGGGTCCTCCGAGCACCGCCAGGAGTGATCCCTGAGCACAGAGCCAGGAGTCAGCCCTGAGCATCGCTGGGTGTGGCCTCCCAAGCCAAGCAAACAACGGGAAAGACCCCACGGAGGGTGGGCGCGGGCTGGAGCAACAGCACAGGGGAAGGGCGTTTGCCAACCTGGATGACTCAGTCCCACACCTGAGCCCCGCCAGGAGTGAGCCCTGAGCACGGAGCAAACCAGGGGCACTGTTGGGTGTGGCTCCAGTACCCTCAGGCCCAGCCCCAAACAGAGAGGGCAAGACAAGGGGCCACCAAGCAGAAGGTCATGGGCGGCCGGTTGGTTGCCGTGAACCCACCTGCACCTCTTTGGCCAACTCTGCAGTGACTCACGCACGCTGGTTCTCACCCACCCCCAGCCCCTGGCCAGGGACAAATAGCACAGAGGTGGGTGTGCCTTGGCGGGTATCAGGTGAGTCAGCGCCTGGCTTTGAGGTGCAGAGAGCAGAGGTCAGAGGTCAGCCTGGTCTGACTCACCAGGCAGGAACGCGCCTCTCCAAGGCGGTCTCCCCCCTCCCTTAGATTCCAAGCGTGCCGCCTGGCTGGCCGATTTCGATAAGAGCACGGAGAAGGCGGGGGACGAGGAAATCCGGGCTGATCTGAAGGTAAGGTCGGTCGCAGGGAGGGAGACGCCTTTGTGCAAAGTCCGGCTGCCTGTCCTGCCCATGACCGCGCTCATTAGTGTATTTCCATTCCCGGCTTTCCTGCAGCCCGGACGAGCGCGCCTGTTGTTGTATTTTTGTATTGCGTTATTGTGTTTTTGTATTGTATTATTGTATTACCGTATTTCCTGCAGCCAGGTGGAGGGCACTCATTACCGTATTTTCTGCAGCCTGGAGGAGGGCACTCGTTACCGTATTTCCTGCAGCCTGGAGGAGGGCGCTCATTACCGTATTTCCTGCAGCCAGGTGGAGGGCACTCGTTACCGTATTTCCTGCAGCCTGGAGGAGGGCGCTCAGTATTGTATTTCCTGCAGCCTGGTGAAGGGCGCTCGTTACCGTATTTTTTATTTCCTACCGCCAGGTGGAGGGCGCCCGTTACCGTAATTCCTGCAGCCTGTTGAAGGGCTCTCATTACCGTAATTCCTGCAGCCTGGTGGAGGGCGTCCGTTACCGTATTTCTTGTTTCCTACAGCCTGGTGAAGGGCCCCCATTACCGTAATTCCTGCAGTCTGGTGGAGGTCACTCATTACCGTATTTCCTGCAGCATGGTGGAGGGCGCTCATTACCGTATTTCCTGCAGCATGGTGGAGGGCTCTCATTACTGTATTTCCTGCAGCCTGGTGAAAGGCGTCCGTTACCGTAATTCCTGCAGCCTGATGGAGGGCGCTCGTAACCGTAATTCGTGCAGCCTGGTGGAGGGCGCCTGTTACCGTATTTCTTATTTCCAGCAGCCTGGTGGAGGGAGCTCATTACCGTAATTCCTCCTGGTGGAGGGCGTACCTACTGTAACCAGGGAGGAAAAGGCTCACCTGTGTGTCTCGGCCTCACCCTTCCCGCCACAGACACTCGCGTTTTCTGGATTGCTGCAGCCTCTTCCTTTATTTCTGCATCTCGCTCTCTCTCCATGAACGAAATCCCGGTAGAACTGAGCTCCTGGGATGCCATCTCCTGCAATTCCTTCAGAATTCCCGGGGCTTGTATTTTCCTGCTGCATTCAAAGGGGCCCCAGCTCCTAACTTTTTTAAATTTTTCTGCTTCTTGGGTCACACCCGGCGATGCTCAGGGCTGACTCCCGGCTCTGCACTCAAGGATCACTCCTGGCGGTGCTCGGGGGACCCTATGGGATGCTGGGAATCGAACCCGGGTCGGCCGCGTGCTGCAGGGCAAATGCCCTCCCTGCTGAGCTATCACTCCAGCCCCAAGTCTTAAAATTTCTAAAGAAAGATGTTCATTCTTTGTGTTTGGAAAATAGGAAAGCATTTCGGGGCAATAGTTGAAGTTGTATGATATGGAATATAGTTTTGAAATTGTGTTAAAACCATGAAATGATGCATTTCTTTATTGCCAACTTTTAGTAGCTGATATTGATAGAGCCTATTACTCAGTGTTTTTGTCTTAAATCAGAGTAATTTTTTTAAGAATAGTGCAGCGGGTAGGGCGTTTGCCTTGCAGGCGGCCAACCCAGGTTCGATTCCTGGCATCCCATATGGTCTCCTAAGCACTGCCAGGGGTAATTCCTGAGTGCAGAGCCAGGAGTAACCCCTGTGCATCGGCGGGTGTGATCCAAAAAGCAAAAAATAAATAAATAAATAAATAAAGCAGGCCGTTAAAAAATGTTTTTCTCATTTTTTTCTTTTTGCAGTATTCACATGCATTATTAATTGCTTTTTGATTTTCTGCTTTCATTCACTTTTCACAATTTTGAGTGATTTATTAAGAAGCCAATATTGGGTTAGAAGTTAATTTTTTTTTGGAGGGGGAGGGATCACACCTGGCGATGCTCAGGGCTGACTCCTGGCTCTGCGCTCAGGAATTACTCCTGGCAGTGCTCGGGGGACCCTAGGGGATGCCGGGAATCGAACCCGGGTCGGCCACGTGCAAAGCAAACGCACTCCCCTCTGTGCTATCGCTCCAGCCCCCACCCCCACCCTCAGCTCCTAATGTTTGTGCCTCCCATGGCAGGAAGCTCCCCTGGAGGACCCTAGAGGCCAGGGGTCTGTGCCCGGCTGTGTCTGACAGGTCGTGCCTTGATCTTCCCGCAGGCTCTGGGGCTGCTGGTCTTGTACCTGGCCAGGAAGGGCGATGTCTCCTGGGAGAAATTGAAAGCTAAGAGCCAAGAGGAACAGGAAGCGCTTTGCCCAGATGCGGATAGTCTGGACCTTCTACAATGTTTGCTCCAACCCCAGGGCGAGGCCACGGAGCTCCTGCCTCAGCTTCTCGGGCACCCATTCTTCTGGAGCTGGGAGAAGTAAGTCAGTGGAAGCTGGCTCTTGGATCACAGGCTGCAGGCGGGGTGGACAGCAGGGTGGTCACTGGTCTCAGAGCGAAGAGATGACAGACAGTAAAGTATCATTATGCTTTTGACTTTTTTTTTTTTTTTTTTGCTTTTTGGGTCCCACCCGGTGATGCTCAGGGCTGACTCCCGGCTCTGCACTCAGGGATCACTCCTGGCAGTGTTCAGGGGACCCTAGGGGATGCTGGGAATCGAACCCGGGTCGGCCACGTGCCAGGCCAACACCCTCCCCATTGTACTATAGCTCCAGCCCCCGGGAGGGGAGAGAACACTTTTATTTAGACTCTTGAGTAAGAACTAGACAGCATTTTTATGGGGGGAACCACACCCCACTGTGCTCAGGGCTTGCTCCTAGCTCTGTGCTTAAGCTTATTCCTGGCTCTGCACTCAGGGATCACTCCTGGGACCCTATGGGATGCTGGGGATTGAACCCGGGTCGGCCGCGTGCCAGGCCAACGCCCTCCCCGCTGGGCTATTGCTCTGACCCATCTCTCTCTGTCTCTCTCTTTCCCCCTCTCCCCCAATCCCCCCGGGTGATGCTCAGGGGTTCCTCCTGGTCTTATACTCAGGGATCACTCCTGGCGGTGCTCGGGGGACCCTATGGGATGCTGGGAATCGAACCCGGGTCAGACGCGTGCAAGGCCAACGCCCTCCCTGCTGTGCTCTGGCCTCTCTAGTTTCTATTTTCCTTTTTTTTTGGGGGGTCCCACCCGGCGATGCTCAGGGCTGACTCCCGGCTCTGCACTCAGGGATCACTCCTGGTGGTGCTCGGGGGACCCTAGGGGATGCCGGGGACCGAACCCGGGTCGGCCTTGTGCAAGGCAAATGCCCTACCTGCTGTGCTATTGCCCAGATCCCTGGTTCATCACTCTTTATTGATTGATTGATTGGTTGATTGCTTTTTGGGTCCCACTGGGCAATGCTCAGGGCTGACTCCTGGCTCTGCACTCACGAATCACTCCTGGCGGTGCTCGGGGGACCCTTATGGGATGCCGGGGATCAAACCCGGGTCAACCACGTGCCAGGTCAATGACCACCCCGCTGTTCTATCGCTCCAGCCCCCCATGTACAATTTCTGGGAAGATAGGAAAGGTTCGAACAGTCACGTCCAATCTGTCTTTCTCAGGCGCTACAGGGCCCTCCGGGATGTAGGCAATGAATCTGACATCAAAGTCCAAAAACGTCAGAGTTTGCTTTTTGAGCTCTTGGAATCCGACACGTCCAGGCATTCCAGAAGTTTCGCCGAGTGGAATAAGAAGGTATGAGCGAGTCTGACAGTCAAGAGGTGGCTGAGTTAGGTTAGCTCTCCTCACTCTTCTCCTGCTGTTGGCCTGGCCAGTGAAGACTCAGAGAGGGGCTCACCCTTCCTGTGCTCTGGGGCCCCTCTCTCTACTTATTTATTTTGCTTTTGGGTCCCACCCGGCGATGCTCAGGGCTGACTCCTGGCTCTGCACTCAGGAATCACTCCTGGCGGTGCTCGGGGGACCCTATGGGATGCCAGGGATCGAACCCGGGTCGGCCGCGTGCAAGGCCAATGCCCTCCCCGCTGTGCTATATCGCTCCAGCCCCTGGGCCCCAAATTTTTAATGCTTCATAGATGATAAGTTTACAGCTTTGAGGCTGCAGTATGGGGTGCAGAGACTGTACAAAGGTCAAAGGCAAGCATCACGGGGCTGAGGCTGTGACCCTGGTTCAAATCCTGGTTCAAGACACTGAGGACTTTCCAGTGTTGCCCCAAATAAAAAAGTTTAAAATTAAAAAAAAAATAGGGGCTGAAGTGATGGAACAGCGGGTAGGGCGTTTGCCTTGCACGCGGTCGACCCGGGTTCGATTCCCAGCATCCCATAGGGTCCCCTGAGCACTGCCAGGAGTGATTCCTGAGTGCAAAGCCAGGAGTAACCCCTGAGCATCGCCAGGTATGACCGGCAAAGGAAAAAAAATTGTGGAAAAATAAAATAAAATAAAGGTTCATCTCTGCTAAAAATAAATAAATAAATAAATAAATAAAATTAAATAAAAAATATATACACACATATACATGTCTATACATACATGTATACATACACATATTTATCACTGTCACCGTCACTGTCCTCCGGTTGTTCATCGATTTTGCTCGAGCGGGCACCAGTCACGTCTCACAACAAATTGTGAGACTTGTTACTGTTTTTTTTGCATATCGAATACGTCAAGGGGAGCTTGCCAGGCTCTGCCATGCGGGCGGGATACTCGCGGTAGCTTGCCGAGATCTCCGAGAGGGGCAGAGGAATCGAACTCAGGTCAGCCACATCGGCTGCGTGCAAGGCAAACGCCCTACCCGCTGTGCTATTGCTTCAGCCCAGACCATATGTATATAGATGCATATATACATATAGATGTGTATACATACACATATATACATCTACACATATGTATATGTGGGTATATATGTGTGTATGTATATATACATGTATGGATGTGTGTATATACAGAATATGTATACAGTATACTTTATATATACATATATATTCTGTATGTATGTATGTATGTGTATATATATCTACAGTATACTGTATATATATTCTATGAACACACACACACACATAGATATGTATATCCCGCCTACATGGCAGAGCCTAACAAGCTTCCCATGGCGTATTCGATATGCCAAAAACAGGAACAATAACGGGTCTCATTCCCCTGACCCTGAAAGAGCCTCCAATGTGGCACCGTTGGGAAGGACGAGTAAGGAGAGGCTGCTAAAATCTCAGGGCTGGGACGAATGGAGACATTACTGGTGCCTGCTTGAGTAAACTGATGAACAACGGGATGACAGTGATACAGTGATATATCATGATCATGATCATCCTGTTGTTCGTCGATTTTCCTCAAGCAGGCACCAGTAACGTCTCCTTCTTCCTAGTCCTGAGATTTTAAAAGAGCCATTTCAAGGCTCTTTCAGGATTAGGAGAATGAGTCCCATCATTGTTACTGGTATTTGGCATATTGGGTACAACACGGGAAGTTTGCCAGACTCTGCCATGCGGGCACGATACTTTTGGTAGCCTGCCAGGTTCTCCAAAGGAAAAAAGAGATAATAAGATGTCGCGTGGCCACAAATGCGGCCGTGCGCTTCTGGGAGGTAGGTTTTACAGTCTCTGCGTCTTGGCCGTTGATGGGACCAACCTGGCGCTGGCAGCAGCTGGTGGGTGTGATGCCTACTGGAAGATGGGGGGTCTGGGTGGAGAAGGCCCAGTCTCAATCCGAGTAGGCTTAGAGACCTCAGCCCTGGGACCCGCATGCCTGGATTTCTCTGCCAGTTCTTTCATGCATGAGGCCCGTCCGGACATGTGGAGAGTGGTCCCAGCATGGCCGTGGCTGGTTCCAGAGGTCCTCAGCTGCTGGGGCTCTGCTTGGGGAGGGGGGGGGAGAGAAACTCAACCCTCCCCTCTCCAAGGGGCCCTGGTGAGGACGGCCAGGCACGGGGGCAGGAGACTCTGCGCTGTTCTTCTCCAGGAGCTGGGTTTTATAGTCTCTGCGTCTTGGCCGTTGATATATATATATATATATATATATATATATATATATTTCTACCAGAGATATAGTACAGTGGGTAGGGCATTTGTCTTGCACACGGCTGACCCAGTTTTATTCCCTTGCATCCCATATGGTCCCCAAGTACTGCCAGGAGTGATCCCGGAGCACAGAGCCAGAAGTAACCCCTGAACATCACCGGGTGTGACCCAAAACACACACATACACACACACACAAAATGTGTTCATGTGCGTTTAAATTCTTTGTTTAAACCACTGGTCCTTCATTTCTCCGTGTTATGTTTAGATTGATGAACCCGTTATGAAGAAAATGGAAGAATTTTATAAAAGAAATTCTAAAAGGAAGAAGAAGTGCCCACATTACGAGAACACCGTGGTAGGTCTTCTGAAGTTCATACGGAACATTGGCGCGCACGTTGATGACAAAGTGAATGAAGAGTGAGTGTTATTTTCCCTTGTTCTTCCAGCAGAAAAGAAGGATTAAGACAGTCAATTTTATTTATTTATTTATTTATTTTGCTTTTTGGGTCACCCGGCGATGCTCAGGGGTTCCTCCTGGCTCTGCACTCAGGAATTACTCCTGGTGGTGCTTGGGGGACCCTATGGGATGCCGGGGATCAAACCCGGGTCGGCTGCGTGCAAGGCAAACATCCTCCCCGCTGTGCTATCGCTCCAGCCCCAAGACAGTCAATTTTAAATTTGTCTGCTATTTGGTGATAATAAGGGGGAAAAAAAAACAGTGTGGTGGGGTCAGGGAGTTGTGGGGTTTGGGCTACCCCATGTGATATTCAGGGGCCACTCTTGGCTCTGTGCTCAGGGGTCCCCCCAGTGGTGCTCAGGCAACAGAGGGCAGAGTCAGAGATCGAATTGGGGTTCACCAAGTATAAAGCAGGAAGCTTGATCCATGAACTATCTCTCTGGCCCTGGGAAAGGCATTTTTTTCTTTTTGGGTCACACCCAGCGATGCACAGGGGTTACTCCTCCCTCTGCACTCAGAAGTTACTCCTGGCAGTGCTCAGGGGACCATATGGGATGCTGGGAATCGAACCCGGGTTGGCCACGTGCAAGGCAAATACCCTCCCCACTGTGCTATCGCTCCAGCCCCGGGAAAGGCATTTTGATGAAAGAAAATCCATTCTTTGCCCACGTTTGGAAGAGGGACATGAAGGGTCTTACAGGGAGCAAAAGGGCAGACTAGGCAGCTTTCATCTTCTTCTTCTTCTTGCCTGTGGGGTCATTGAATACCATGTCATTGAACACCTAAAGTCAAAGATTGCTGAGTCACTGTGTGTGAATCATTGGGAGTCAGTGAATGCTGGGTCACCGAATGCTGAGTCATCTGATGTGGAGTCACGGAATGTGAGTGGTTGGATGCGGAGTCATCGAATGTGAGTCACTGAATGCTGAGTCACTGGGTGCTGAGGGTGAATGGAGTGTGAATCATTGGATGCAGAGTCACTGCATGTGAATCACAGGATGCTGAGTCACTGCATGCGAGCCACTGAGTGCGAATCATTAAATGTGAGTCACCAAATGCAGAGTCACTGCATGCTGAGTCATTGGAGGATGAGTCAATGGAATCATTGAGTGCTGAGTCATCGAATGTGAGGTGTTGAGTCATGGACTGTGAATCATTGGATGCTGAGTCATTGAATGTGAGTCACTGGGCGCTGAGTCATGGAGTGTGAATCACTGTGAAGCATTGGATGCCAGGTCATAGCATGTGAGTCCCTGAATGCTGAGTCATCGAGTCTGAATCGTTGAATGCTGAATCATGGGCGTGCGTCACAGGACGCTGAGTCACTGCATGCGAGCCACTGAGTGCGAATCATTACATGTGAGTCACCAAATGCTGAGTCACTGCATGCTGAGTCATTGGAGGTTGAGTCAATGGAATCATTGAGTGCTGAGTTATTGAATGTGAGGTGCTGAGTCATGGACTGTGGATCATTGGATGCTGAGTCATCAGATGTGAGTCATTGAATGCTGAGTCATCTGATGCTGAGTCATGGAGTCTGAATCGTTGAATGCTGAGTCATGGACGTGCATCATAGGATGCTGAGTGCGAATCATTACATGTGAGCCACCAAATGCTAGAGTCACTGCATGCTGAGTCATCGGGTTAGGAGTCAACGGAATCATTGAGTGCTGAGTCATCCAGTGTGAGGTGCTGAGTCATGGAGTGTGAATCATTGGATGCTGAGTCATTGAATGTGAGTCACTGGGCGCTGAGTCATGGTGTGTGAATCACTGTGAAGCATTGGGTGCCGGGTCATCGCATGTGAGTCCCTGAATGCTGAGTCATCCGATGCTGAGTCATGGAGTCTGAATCGTTGAATGCTGAGTCACGGACGCGCATCACAGGATGCTGAGTCGCTGCATGCGAGCCACTGAGTGTGAATCATTACGTGTGAGTCATTGGGTGAGGAGTCAACGGAATCATTGAGTGCTGAGTCATCGAATGTGAGGTGCTGAGTCATGGACTATGAATAATTGGATGCTGAGTCATCAGATGTGAGTCACGGAGTGTGAATCATTGGGTGCTGAGTCATGGACATGAGTCACAGGACGCTGAGTGCGAATCATTAAATGTGAGCCACCAAATGCTGAGTCACTGCATGCTGAGTCATTGGAGGATGAATCAATGGAACCATTGAGTGCTGAGTCATCAAATATGAGTCATCAGGTGCTGAGTCATGGACTGTGAATCATTGGATGGTGAGTCATTGAATGTGAGTCACTGAGTGCTGAGTCACTGGGTGCTGAGTCATGGAGTGTGAATCACTGCGAAGCATTGGAGGCCGGTTCATCGCATGTGAGTCCCTGAGTGCTGAGTCATCTGATGTTGAGTCATGGAGTCTGAATCGTTGAATGCTGAGTCACGGACGCGCATCACAGGACGCTGAGTCGCTGCATGCGAGCCACTGTGAATCATTACATGTGAGCCACCAAACGCCGAGTCACTGCATGCTGAGTCATCGGGTGGGGAGTCAACGGAATCACTGAGTGCTGAGTCATCCAATTGTGAGGTGCTGAGTCACGAAGTGTGAATCATTGGATGCTGAGTCATGGATGTGACTCACAGGATGCTGAGTCGCTGAAGACAATAGCTTTGTATGCGAAGCAATTTGGGGTTCTGAGTGCTTCGTCAGGCAAAGAGAGCCATTTATTTATTGACTCAGCACTTTTTTTTAAATAATTTTTATTTAGTGAGACACCGATAGGTACAGTTGTAGACTTACAAGTTTTTGTGCTTGGGTTTCAATTATACAATGATCAAACACCCATCCCTCCACCAGTGCCCATTTCCCACCACCACGGATCCCAGTATCCCTCCCACCCCCCATCCCCCCCATCCCACCCTGCCTCTGTGGCGGGGCATTCCCTTTTGTTATCTCTCTCCTTTTGGGTGTTGGGGTTTGCAAAAGAGGCATTGAGTGGCAATCATGTTTGGTCTATAGTCTACTCTCAGCATGCTTCTCCCATCCTGGGAGGATCCTCCCAGCACCCTTTATTTGGTGCTCCCTTTTCTATCTGAGCTGCCTTTTCCCCCTAGCATGTGTGGCTGGCCTCCAACTCATGGAGCAAAATTCCTGGTACTAATCTCGGCCACTCTTGGGTGTTAGTCTCCTATTTTGTTACTTTATGTTCCCCAGATGAATGCAATCTTTCTATGTCTGTCCCTCTCTTTCTGACTCATTTCACTTAATATGATACTTTCCATGTAGTATCACTTGTATGTAAATTTCATAACTTCATCTTTTCTAACTGCTACACAGCGGGTAGGGCGTTTGCCTTGCACGCAGCCAACACGGCCGACCCGAGTTCGATTCCTCCGCCCCTCTCAGAGTGCCCAGCAAGCTACCGAGAGTATTCGATATGCCAGACACAGTAACAACAAAGTCTCCAATGGAGACGTTACTGGGCCCGCTCGAGCAAATCGATGATCAACGGGAGGGCCTTTTACCTTTTACATAGTACTCCATTGTGTAAATGTACCAGAGTTTCTTTAACCAGTCATCTGTTCTCGGGCACTCAGGTTTTTTTTCCAGATTCTGGCTATTGTAAAGAGTGCTGCAATGAACAAACAAGTGCAGATGTCACTTCGACTATACCTTTTTGCCTCTCTGGGATATATTCCCAGGTTAACTCAGCATTTTTTGGGGGTAGGAGTAAGGTGCACACCTGGCCACGCTCAGGGCTAGCTCCTGCTCTTTTAGGAATCACTCTTGGCAGGACTCAGGGGTCCCTATGCGGGGTTGGGGGTAGAACCCGGGTCAGCTGGGTACCAAACAAGCGCCTTACACACTGCACGATTTTCCAGCCCATTAATTCATCTTCTGTTGCTGGAAATATCAGTGACCACCTCTTGCCCACCCACAAGATTTCAGATTCAAGATTTCACAGTTTTCATGGCGCTTCAGAACTTGGAGGAAGGGGGTTGTGGGATTGTTGTATTTCCATGTGAAAGGGCTAGGAAGATAGTCCAGGGGTCAGTTAGGGTCCCAGTGCAGGTTGGACCTCTAGGCATGGCTGGGGGTGGGCCTTGTTGCCCAGAGGCACTGCAGGGCTGGAGCTCATTCCTGCTAGTAGTTTTGCTGGAAAATTCTCAGCCCCTTGCCCCTGAGAACTGCCTCCCACCTAAGGTGAAGGGCAGATTCCACGCCAGTAGTTGAGTTTTTTTTTTTTTTTAGAAACCAATTTCTTTTTTTTTTTTTGGGGGTCACACCCAGCAATGTTCAGGGATTACTCCTGGCTTTGCACTCAGGAATTACTCCTGGCGGTGCTTGGGGGACCATATGGGATGCCGGGGATCAAACCCGGATCGGCTGCATGCAAGGCAAACACCCTACCCACTGTGCTATCACTCTGGCCCTCCACAATTTTTTTTTTAAATTGCATCACTTGAGGGGCTGGAGCGATAGCACAGGAGGTAGGGCGTTTGCCTTGCACGTGGCCGACCTGAGTTCGATTCCCAGCATCCCATATGGTCCCCTGAGCACCGCCCGGAGGAGTAATTTCTGAGTGCAGAGCCAGGAATAACCCCTGTGCATTGCCGGGTGTGACCCAAAAAGAAAAAAAAATTCAAACCTTTGGGGCTGGAGCAATAGCAACAGCGGGTAGGGCGTTTGCCTTGCACGTGGCCAACATGGGTTCGATTCCCAGCATCCCATATGGTCCCCCAAGCACCGCCAGAGACATCTCTGGGTTCCAGAGACATCTCTGTAGGGCACTGATCCATTTTGGGATTTAGTTGGGAGTCTCTGGGCCAGGGCTGTTGGTGCGTTAAGATGACAACCGGAGAGGAAGCGTTGTGGACCCCAGTGAGAGATCTCTGGGCCCTACCTAGGCCGCAGGAAAGCAGGGAGAAGGTATCCAAGGGTGACCACTTCCGTTTCCTTTCAGCATGAAATCCATCATTGGAGAGCCATCCCACTACTTCCAGAAGAAATTCCCGGATCTGTTCATCTACGTCTACCGGAAGCTGAGGGACGAACCTTATAACCAGCACTTTGAGAAAAATTCGCCAGCCCAACCAGCCTCTGGGTGATGGACTTGGGCCAGCAGTGGGATGGGACGCGGTGGGGGGGTCGGGGACCGTCCCCAAACCCATCCCGGCCACTTGTCACTTTCCAGGGGGGTCTCGTGAGGGGGGCATTTGGGCAGGTGCTGTATTGGCTCCTGCCATAGACCTACCCACTCCAATTTTTAATTTTTTTTTTTTACTTTTTGGGTCACACCCGGCGATGCTCAGGGCTGACTCCTGGCTCTGTGCTCAGGAATCTCTCCTGGCGGTGCTCGGGGGACCCTATGGGATACCCAGGATTGATTGAACCACATCAGATGCGTGCAAGGCAAATGCCCTACCCACTGTGCTATCGCTCCAACTTCCTTCCTTCCTTCCTTTCTTTCTTTTTCTTTCTTTTTCCTTCCTTCCTTCCTTCCTTCCTTCCTTCCTTCCTTTCTTCCTTCCTGTCCCTTGCTTTTTTCCTTTTTTTTTTTTTTTTTTGCTTTTTGGGTCACACCCGGCGATGCTCAGGGCTGACTCCTGGCTCTGCGCTCAGGAATCTCTCCCGGCGGTGCTCGAGGGACCCTATGGGATGCCGGGGATCGAACCCGGGTTGGCCGCATGCAAGGCAAACACCCTACTCACTGTGTTATCACTCCAGCCCCCCCAATTCCACGTTTTTGTGACAAATACACTTGCACTTAGATTCTCCTTGTCCCTTAGATGGGGAACGTTTAGTGACCAGATGAGGGGGACTGGAAGGACCCCACTTGTCAATGCACTAAATGTCCATCGAATACCTGGCTGAACACTCAGGACCCGAGTGTCATTATTGGTGATGTCACCTGAAATGAAAGCTTGCAAGATGGGGGGGGGGCTCATGCACTCTTTCTGAACTGCAGAATTTTTTTTTTTTTTGCTTTTTGGGTCACACCCGGCGATGCACAGGGGTTACTCCTGGCTCACGCACTCAGGAATTACTCCTGGCGGTGCTCGGGGGACCATATGGGATGCTGGGAATCGAACCCGGGTCGGCTGCGTGCAAGGCAAACACCCTCCCCGCTGTGCTATTGCTCCAGCCCCTGAGATTGTTTTCTGTGACCGGGGGGAGTTGGGCAGTGCCTTGTGATGCTTCAAGGTCAGCTTTGCCAGGGGTTCCACATTCTTTTTCTTTCTTTCTTTTTTTTTTTTGCTTTTTGGGTCAGCACTTGTGTGAGTCAAAACTGGAACCAGGTATAACTAGGCAGTTATTTGTAGTAAGTTTTCTTTCGTAAGTCTCTCTGGTCTCTTTGCTGAAATGGTATATTCTGCTGTTTGTAAGAAGTCTGATGTACGTTTCTTTAAGTTGATTTTGTAAATTCAGTGGGGAAGATTCTTTTTCTGGTTTTTGGGCCACACCGATGGTGCAGCTCAGGGCTTACCTACTCTTGGCTGAGCTCTCAGGGGTCACTCCTGGTGGGGATCGAGGGACCAGATGGGTTCCAGAGATTGAACCCAAGTCAGTAGTATACAGAGCAAAGCACTTTACCTGTTGTATTACCTCTTTGGCCCGTGTCTTGTGAATTTTCAACTTGTCATTTGATGTGCTTAAAAGCTTTTAATATTAAGAGCATTTTGCCTTTGGTTGATGTTCCGATTACACCATGGAACTTCCTAGGGCTGGAGCGATAGCACAGTGGTAGGGCGTTTGCCTTGCATGCGGCCAACATGGCCAACTGGAGTTCGATTCCTCCGTCCCTCTTGGAGAACCCGGCAAGCTACCGAGAATATCTCGCCCGCACGGCAAAGCCTGGCAAGCTCCCCATGACCTATTCGAGATGCCAAACACAGTCACAACAAGTCTCACAATGTTACTGGGCCTGCTCGAGCAAATCGATGAACAACGAGAGGACAGGACATTGCTACAGTGCTTTTTGGGTCACACTCAGCAATGCACAGGGGTTCCTCCTGGCTCTGCACTCAAGAATCACTCCTGGTGGTGCTCGGGGGACCCTATGGGATGCCGGGGATCAATCCCAGGTCGGCCAGGTGCCAGCAAACGCCCTCCCCGCTGTGCTACGGCTCCGGGCCCCTACAGATATTTTTAATTTGTTTGTTTACTGCAAGCGTGGTGATGTTTAAATAGGGAGTGAATCCATTCATCCTCAGGGACGAACATTAACCTTGTAGTTCTATGGTGCTTTAGAGCCTATCCGGAGCCCTTGTGTCAATCACGTTGTAATGAATAAATGATGGTTCTTTTCCAACGTTCGAACTGATTTCTTTTTCTTTACCTTTGGTTTTGGGCCCATGACTTTGCTCAGGGTTTACTCCTGACTCTGTGCTCAGGGATCACTCCTGGTAGTTTTGCTGAGGGCAACATATGGGGTGCCAGGACTCAAAAACATAACGCATATACATTTTTTTGCGTTTTTTTTTGGGGGGGGTCACACCCAGTGATGCACAGGGGTTCCTCCTGGCTCATGCACTCAGGAATTACTCCTGGCAGTGCTCGGGGGATCCTATGGGATGCTGGAAATCGAACCCAGGTCGGCCGCATGCAAGGCAAATGCCCTCCCCACTGTGCTATTGCTCCAGCCCATCAAAAATAATGCATATACTATTTTTTTTGACTTTTTGGGTCACACCCAGCCGATGTTCAGGGGTTACTCCTGGCTCTGCACTCAGGAATCACTCCTGGCGGTGCTTGGGGACCCTAGGGGATGCCGGGGATCGAACACAGGTTGGCCGCATGCAAGGCAAACGCCCTCCCCACTGTGCTATTGCTCCAGCCCATCAAAAATAATGCATATACTATTTTTTTTGGCTTTTTGGGTCACACCCAGCCGATGTTCAGGGGTTACTCCTGGCTCTGCACTCAGGAATCACTCCTGGCGGTGCTTGGGGACCCTAGGGGATGCCGGGGATCGAACACAGGTTGGCCGCGTGCAAGGCAAACGCCCTCCCCACTGTGCTATCGCTCCAGCCCCCCCCCCCCTTTTTTAAGAAGACAGGAGATCCCCTGGGCTGTGAATAGAGACACATTTTATTCTCACTAACAGTGCGGATGGAGGGGGAGGGGTTGACAGGCACCCCAAGATGCAACACACCAACAGCCCCTTCCTCTGCAGCAGTGAGCCTAGGCTGGGCAGGGACCACTCACACCGTGACCCGGAAGTGCTTTCACCCTTCTGGGCCAAGAGGGAAAGTTTCCAGGCGGTCACTCCTGGCTCTGGGGACCCACAGGCTGCTGACGGCACATCTTCCCCAGGTCTCTCTCTCCACCTTTCACTCTGGAACAAGCCACCGGAGCTTCCTAATGTAAAAAAAAAGTGGGGCACAGGGGCTGGAGCGATAGCACAGCGGGGAGGGTGTTGGCCTGACACGCGGCCAACCCGGGTTCGATCCCCGGCATCCCATCGGGTCCCCCGAGCACTGCCAGGAGTGATTCCTGAGTGCAGAGCCGGGAGTCAGCCCTGAGCATTGCCAGTGTGGTCCCTGCATAAAATAAAACAAAACCAAAAACTAAAAAGAAGAGTAAAATCATGGGGCTGGAGCGATAGCACAGCGGGTAGGGCATTTGCCTTGCACGCAGCCAAAATGGCCAACCCGGGTTCGATTCCCAGCATCCCATAGGGTCCCCCAAGCACCGCTAGGAGTAATTCCTGAGTGCATGAGCCAGCAGTAACCCCTGTGCGTCACCGGGTGTGACCCAAAAAGAAAAAAAAAAAGGAAGATTAAAATCAAACAAGGAAGCAAGTAGGTGAGCATCGCTAAGACCAGGCAAGGTGCTGTGTTAAGTTGCTGGAGGTCATGGACTGCCATCTGCCAGGATTCAGTCACCCCTGCTCACTCCGGAGACCGGCCATCAGAGTCACCCTCTCGCTGCCTTGCAAACTTTTGTGTGCTGCTCTGGGTGCCACAGTGACTCACAGTTTTGGACCGGTTCTGTGTGCGTCTCGGAGAGGGGCTGAAGCCATTCGATGCCTCTGAGTAACGTGAACTTCAGGACAGGCTGTTCTCCTGGGGAAGGAACATGGGGGGTGGGCTTTAGAAATCTGTGAGGAGCCAGAGCCATAGCATGGCAGGGAGGACGTTGGCCTGGCACGCGGCCGACCCGGGTTCCCGGCTCTGCACTCAGGACTCACTCCTGGCTGGTGCTCGGGGGACCCTATGGGATGCTGGGGATCGAACCCGGGTCGGCCGCGTGCCAGGCCAACACCCTCCCTGCTGTGCTATCTCTCAGACCCTAATCTATCTCATTTATTTTTTGGAGGGAACTAGAATTACTCAGGGCTGACTCCCGGCTCTGCACTCAGGGAATCACTCCTGGCGGTGCTCGGGGGACCCTAGGGGATGCCGAGGGTTGAACCCGGGTCGGCTGCGTGCAAGGCCAATGCCCTACCTGCTGTGCTAATGCCCAGGTCCCTGGTTCATCACTCTTTATTGATTGATTGATTGATTGCTTTTTGGGTTCCACCCGGCGATGCTCAGGGCTGACTGCTGGCTCTGCACTCAGGAATCACTCCTGGTGGTGCTCGGGGGGATCCTATGGGATGCCGGGGATCGAACCCGGGTCGGCCGCGTGCAAGGCCAACGTCCTCCCCGCCGTGCTATCGCTCCAACCCCCTTGTACGTTATTTCTAAGTTCCTTCTCCTCCTTAAATAAAAATGATCGTTCAGTGCGGCCGTGAGGACAGACGCCTTGCACGTGGCCAACCTGGGTTCGATCCCTGGCATCCCACAGAGCTCTCCCCCGCCCCCAGAGCACCACCAGGAGTGACCCCTGAGCACAGGGCCAGGAGGAAGCCCTGAGTAGCTCTGGGTGTGGCCTCCAAACCAAACTAAATAAATGAAACAAAACAAAACAAAAAGAGAGGCAGAAGGTCAGACGCGACATGTGCTCTTTGGCACTTGGGAGAACCCTCCGTCGGTTCAAGCCCTTCTCTGCGTGCTCTCGGTCATCCCCCACCTCACCCCTGAGACAAGGATGTGGAGCATCCCTCAGGGGCGAGGAAGGGGACCCCCCCCCCGGCAGGTGAGCGCCCACCCTTGTCCCCACCCCCACACACGTCCTGCGGACATGAAGAAGCGTCTACGCGTCCTGGGAGCGGTCCACCGGTCCCGCCTTGCCAGGTTTGCCAAAGCAGAAGGTGCCGTTCTGGGTGTCCGGAGGGCGACCTTTATTTTTTTTTTTTGCCTTTTTTGGTCCCACCCGGTGATGCTCAGGGGTTCCTCCTGGCTCTGAGCTCAGGAATTACCCCTGGCAGTGCTCGGGGGACCCTATGGGATGCTGGGAACCGAGCCCGGTTCTGCCACATGCAAGGCAAACGCCCTACTCGCTGTGCTATTGCTCCAGCCCCTGGAGGGCAACCTTACCTGGGCTCAGAGGTGTGATCTTGAACGTGGGTTGTTTCAAGGGGTTGTGCTTTTCCTTGAACTTCTTCCCACGGCTCCTCCTGTAAGTGCAAGCTACCCTCCAGGCACAAAATCTGCGGGGCAGAGACACCAGGTCAGGAGGGGGCCCCCCTCCCCGCCCATTTCTTTCTTTCTTTTTTTTCTTTTTCTTTTTTTTTTGCCTTTTGGGTCCCACCCGGCGATGCTCAGGGCTGACTCCGGGCTCTGCACTCAGGAATCACTCCTGGCGGTGCTCGGGGGACCCTAGGGGATGCCGGGGATCGAACCTGGGTCGGCCGCATGCAAGGCAAAACGCCCTCCCCGCTGTGCTATTGCTTTGGTTCCTGTTTATCAATTTAATCTCTGTGTTGGCATCCCTCGCCCGCACGGCAAAGCCTGGCAAGCTCCCCTGACCTATTGGAGATGCCAAACACAGTAACAACAAGACTCACAATGTTACTGGGCCCGCTGGAGCAAATCAATGAACAACGGGAGGACAGTGCTACAGTGTTGACATCTCTAGGGGAAAGTGTAACATCTCCTGCCTCATTTCCTTGCTGGGCTCAGGGGGAGGGACCTTGGGGTGGACAGAGGGTAGGGGGAGAGAATGAAGAACCTGAGAAGTTGTGGTGTGTGTGTGTGTGTGTGTGTTTTGGAGTCACATCCAGTGATGCTCAGGGCTGACTCCTGGCTCTGCACTCAGGAGTGATTCAGCGGTGCTCAGGGGACCCTATGGGATGCCGGGGATCGAACCCAGGCTACGGCCAGAGAGTGTCGAGGCCATTGGATGTTAACCCTAAGTGCATTGCCTCTTTCCCTCCCCCCAGAGAAGCTTACAGTGCTCTTATGAGCACCCCGAATCCCCCGGGTTTATCTTGAACCTTTCCTAAGTGCATTACCTCTCAGTGTTACATTCCTCAAGTCAGTCTTGGTTCCTTATAAGCGAAAAAATTCTGAACCCAAAAGGAGAGAGAGAGAGAACAAAAGGGAATGCCCTGCCACAGAGGCAGGGTGGGAGGGATACTGGGACCCGTGGTGGTGGGAAATGGGCACTGGTGGAGAGATGGGTACTGGATCATTGTATAACTGAAACCCAAGCACAAAAATTTATAAGTCTACAACTGTACCTCATGGTGTTTCACAACAAAAATAAATAAATAAAATAAATAAAAATAAATAAAATTGGGACCACAAAACAAAAACAAAAACTTCTGGTGATTCCGGACCGTGTGTTTGAAATGAGTTACTTGCTTTTCTTTTCTTTTCTTTTTTTTTTTTTGCTTTTTTGGGTCACACCTGGTGATGCTTAGGGGTGACTCCTGACTCTGCACTCAGGAATCACTCCTGGAGGTGCTCGGGGGACCCTAGGGGATGCTGGGGATCGAACCCAGATCGGTTGTGTGCAAGGCAAACACCTTCCCTGCTGTGCTATCACTCCGGCCCTAAGTTACTTGCTTTTCTATTTCTCTACAGATCTTTTATATTTTACTATAAAGCAATGTTCTTTGCTTAAACACTGTAGCACTGTCCTCCCGTTGTTCATCGATTTGCTCGAGCAGGCACCAGTCACATCTCACAACAAACTGTGAGACTTGTTGTGACTGTATTTGGCATATCGAATACGCCACGGGGAACTTGCCAGGCTTTGCCATGCGGACGAAATACTCTCGGTAGCTGGCCGGGCTCTCCGAGAGGGGCGGAGGAATCGAACTCAGGTCAGCCACATCAGCTGCGTGCAAGGCAAACGCCCTACCCGCTGTGCTATTGCCCCTGCCCGCTTAAACACAGAAAGACCATTAATGCTGTGCTCCTAATATTGGGAGTTGATTGGCTCTGAAATATATCTACTCCTGGGCATCTGTCATAATTACTCGACTCAGGCTTCAGTTGCTGTAATTCCTAACACCCCAAAAGGGAGGTCCTGCCGTCGGACCCGGGACAAACGGCAAAGCTTTCTGGGCATCAAAATGGGACAGCCTAGGACGCATAACAGCATGGTCTGGATGCAAGACAGGACCCTCCACTGGGGAAGGACAAGTCGAACTGACCTGAGGACCTAGTCTGGGATTTACGGTAAAAGCCTGGCTTGATTCTCAGAGCCCAGAGAACTGGGTTTGGGACCTTTGTTTCTTCCTGTGTTTTATCCGAATGACTGCAAGTATTGATAAGAAGTCAACTTAAGGGGGCTGGAGAGATAGCACAGCGGGTAGGGCGTTTGTCTTGCACGCAGCCGACCCGGGTTCAATTCCCAGCATCCCATATGGTCCCCTGAGCACTGCCAGGAATAACTCCTGAGTGCGGAGCCAGGAGGAACCCCTGTGCATAGCCAGGTGTGAGCACCCCCCCTCCCAAAAAGCAAGAAGTTTAATATGTACAGCTTGGGCTGGAGCGATAGCACAGTGGGTAAGGCGTTTGCCTTGCACGCGGCCGACCTGGGTTCGATTCCTCTGCCCAGCAAGCTACTGAGAGTATCTCGCCCGCACGGCAAAATCTGGCGAGCTCCCCGTGACAGATTCGAGATGCCAAACACAGTCACAAGTCTCACGAGGGAGACGTTACGGAGCAAATTGAGGAACTACAGGGGGACAGTGGTACCGTGCTATGTACGGATTAAGGAAAAGAGAAAAGAGCGTCTCCTTGAGGTACTGCCCCAAGAGAACTGACTCGACGAAAAACGCCATCCCTCTGTGAGTCCAACACGCCTACGGGCAGGCCCATGCCTTGACCCCCTCCCGTGTGCTGAGGGTGCCGGGAGCTCTGGATCTCACGGGCCGTGGTGAGCACAGCCTGGGGTCTCTCTCCCGTGTCTTGGTTCCTCTGTGGGGGAGGCCGGGTGGTGGGGGACGGGAGGCGGCTCTCGGCCACCTAACGCATGTGTCAGGCACCCACGTTTTGAGTTCACAGAACCCTGAACACCGTTCATCAAGTGCTTGCGAAGGCTGGCTAGACAGGCTACCTTGCCTCTGGGAAACGTTTTTAGCTTTTTGGGCTACACCTGGTAATACTCAGGGCTTCCTCCCGGCAGTGCTCAGGGACGACTCCCGGCAGTGTTTAGGGATCACTCCCGGTAGTGCTCAGGGATCACTCTGGACAGTGTTCAGGGATCACTCCCGACAGTGTTCAGGAATCACTCCTGGCAGTGCTCAGGGATGACTCCCGACAATGTTCAGGGATCACTCCCAATAGTGCTCAAGGGATGACTCCTGGCAGTGCTCAGGGATGACTCCCGGCGGGGCTCAGGGATGATTCCCGGTAGTGCTCAGGGATGACTCCTAGCAGTGCTCAGGGATCACTCCCGGCAGTGCTCAGGGATCACTCCCAGCAGTGCTCAGGGATCACCCTGAACAGTGTCCAGGGATCACTCCTGGCAGTGCTCAGGGATGACTCCTAGCAGTGCTTAGGGATCACTCCCAGTGGTGCTCAGGGATGAATCACGGAAGTGCTCAGGGATCACTCCCGGCAGTGCTCAGGGATCACTCCCAGCAGTGCTCAGGGATCACCCTGAACAGTGTCCAGGGATCACTCCTGGCAGTGCTCAGGGATGACTCCTAGCAGTGCTCAGGGATCACTCCCAGTGGTGCTCAGGGATGAATCACGGAAGTGCTCAGGGATCACTCCCGGCAGTGCTCAGGGATCACTCCCAGCAGTGCTCAGGGATCACTCTGAACAGTGTCCAGGGATCACTCCTGGCAGTGCTCAGGGATGACTCCCGGCAGTGCACAGGGATGACTCCCGACAATGTTCAGGGATGACTCCTGGTAGTGCTCAGGGATCACTCCTGGCAGTGCTCAGGGATCACTCCCAGCAGTGCTCAGGGATCACTCTGGACAGTGTCCAGGGATCACTCCTGGCAGTACTCAGGGATGACTCCTGGACGTGCTCAGGGATGACTCCCGGCAGTGCTCAGGGATGACTCCTGGTAGTGCTCAGGGATCACTCCCGGCAGTGCTCAGGGATCACTCCCAGCAGTGCTCAGGGATCACTCTGGACAGTGTCCAGGGATCACTCCTGGCAATGCTCAGGGATGACTCTTGGTAGTGCTCAGGGATCACTCCCGACAGTGCTCAGAGATGACTCCCAGAAGTGCTCAGGGATCATTCCCGACAGAGCTTAGGGATGACTCCTGGCCATGCTCAGGGATCACTCCCAGCCATGCTCAAAGATGACTCCTGGCTGTGCTCAGGGATCACTCCCAGGCGTGCTCAGGGATGACTCCGGCAGTGCTCAGGGGTGACTCCCGCCCGTGCTCAAAGATGACTCCCGGCCGTGCTCAGGGATCACTCCCGGCCATGCTCAGGGAGGACTCCCGGCGGGCATCCAGCCCCTCCCTCCTCCCGGGCCTGCCGCAGTGCAGAGAGAGGCGGCCGTGAGCGGGAAGGGGCCACTATGCCAGCTCAGCTTCCCAACAGCCAGCCGGAGACCAGGGCCAGCCCGGGGGTGACCGGAGGCGGGCGGCAAGCGGGCGGGAGGCGGTCACCTCCTCCAGAAGTACATGATGACGGGAAAGATAGACATGATGGCTCCGAAGAACAGCGTCCGGTTGAAGTGGCCGTCGGCGATCATGTTGATGATGGAATCCTTCAGGGTCTCAGGGATGTTCACCTGCCCGCAAAGGTCACCGGGCATCCCTGAGACCCCCAGGTGAGCCCTGTGTCCCCCCAGCTCCTTCTCCCGAAGGGAACCCAAGCATCTGGGACACAGGGAAGGGGGATGGGGCTCAGGATGGGCATGGGGGGACGGCGGTGATGCTAAACCCAAGGTCAAGGGCGCCTGGGGTCAAGGGTCACAGGGGTCGAAGGTCACGGGGCCAGAGGGCGTACCCTCAGCCTGGGCGGCGTCTCGAAGCAGAGGTAGAGCTTCAGGATGATGTGGACCTTGGCCTTCATGAGAAGGAGCTCGTTGGTGCTGTAGCTCCGGTTCACTTGGGGCACGCGGGTGGAAGTCACCAGGTCATTGAACCTGAGGACAGAGGACAGAGGCCGGAGAGGAGACGCCCCCACCCCCCCCGGGTAGCGCAGTCCCTTTCCGGCCGCGGCTGGTGGGCCCCCAAAGCATCAAGGTGTGGAGCCGGAGCGACAGCACAGCGGGGAGGGCGTTGGCCTGGCATGCACGCGGCCGACCCGGGTTCCATCCCCGGCATCCCAGAGGGTCCCCCGAGCACCATCAGGAGTGATCCCTGAGTGCAGAACCAGGAGTCAGCCCTGAGCATCGCCGGGTGGGACCCAAAAGGCCAAAATAATAATAATATTAATAATAATAATAATAATAATAGAGTCACAGAACTAGACAAATAGTTCAGCAGGGAGGCGTTTTCCCTGCACGTGGCCGACCTGGGTTCGATCCCCAGCATCCCCTAGGGGCCCCCGAGCACCACCAGGAGTGATTCCTGAGTGCAAAGCCAGGAGGAAGCCCTGAGGATCCCCAGGTGTGACCAAAAAAGTAAAAACGACAACAACAACAAAAGACTCTTCAAGGGGCTGGAGCGATAGCACAGCAGGAAGGGCGTTGGCCTGGAACGTGGCCGACCCGGGTTCGATCCCCGGCATCCCCTAGGGTCCCCCGAGCACCGCCAGGAGTGATCCCTGAGTGCAGAGCCCGGAGTCAGCCCTGAGCATCGCTGGGTGGGACCCAAAAAAAGCCAAAATAATAGTAATTGATAATAATAATAATAATAGAGTCACAGAACTAGACAAATAGTTCAGCAGGGAGGCGTTTTCCCTGCACGTGGCCGACCCGGGTTCGATCCCCGGCATCCCCTAGGGTCCCCCGAGCCCCGCCAGGAGTGATTCCTGAGTGCAGAGCCGGGAGTCAGCCCTGAGCATCGCCGGGTGGAACCCAAGAAGCAAAATAATAATAATGATAATAATATCGGGTCCATCACCCAGTTCAGCACCTTGATCAATATCTGATCCATCCATAGGGGCTGGAGCAATAGCACAGCATGGAGGGCGTTGGCCTTGCATGCGGCCGACCCGGGTTCGATCCCTGGCATTCCCTAGGGTCCCCCGAGCACCGCCAGGAGAGATTCCTGAGTGCAGAGCCAGGACTCAGCCCTGAGCATCGCCGGCTGGGACCCAAAAAGCCAAAAAATAAAGCATCGAGGTGAAACTAGTCGTAATCCAGGTTATGACTTGATTTGTTCCAGCACATTCCATGCCCTGGTGAGTGTGAAGGGCATATCTGAGCCGCGTCAGGGAACAGGGAACATGCTCTCCTCCTCCCCCTCCCCCTCCTCCTCCTCCTCCTCCTCCTCATTCTCTTCCTTCTCCTTCTCCTCCTCCTCCTCTTTCTCCCCTTCCTCCTCCTCCTCCTCCTCCTTCTCCTCCTCCTCCTCGGACCCTCGGGTTTAGCTCTTCTTCCCTGCTTTTACCGTCAGGTCGCCCCCCCACACCTGCGTCCCCTTTAACTCCCTCAAGAACCAAAGCCGATTCTTTCCTTCCTTTCTTTCTTCTAAGAAATGGACCCTGGGAATCCAGCTGACGATCCTTCACTTTTAAAAATCCTTCGTAAAATATATTTAACACAGGATTTACCAGTTCCGCCATTTGGAGGGGGTGGGCCCACACTGAGCGGTGCTCGGGGCTGACTTCCGGCTCTGTGCTCAGGGCTGACTCCCGGCTCTGTGCTCAGGGCTGACTCCTAGATCTGTGCTCAGGTCTGACTCCTGGCTCTGCACTCAGGGCTGACTCCTGGCTCTGTGCTCAGGGATCACTCCCAGATCTGTGCTCAAGGCTTACTCTTGGTTCTGTGCTCGGGCTGACTGCCTGGCTCTGTGCTCGGGGCTCACTCCTGGCTCAGTGCTTTCAGGATCCAAGGGAAAGAGGTGTGGACACAGGCTAACTCCTGGTCAGTCTGCAGCGGGGCTCAGGGAGAAGGGATTCCTGCCATCCATCCCGACAGGGGCGGGTCCTCCTCTCTTGGCTGGGGAGTCCTAAGGGCGGAAGGCGAGACCCGGGGCGGTTGGGGGGCTCAGGAGGGGGACACGCACTTCTCAATCTCCATGAGGAAATAATTGTCGTTGACGGCAAAGTTGACGATGATGATCCTGTTGCCCAGGATACGGCGCTTGACGAGGATCAGGTCCCCGTTCTCCAGTTCCGAGTCCCGCACGCTGAGATGGTTGGTGGGGTTCCGGCCCGACGTGCTGGGAGAGAAATCTGGCGGCAAGGAGGGGGGCGGGAAATGAAAGGGCAAAGCGGACACCGGAGGAGCTGGCCTGCAGGTGGGCAGTGGTGGAAGGAGGAAGGGGTGAAGGGGTGAGGGCCAGGGAGGAGGAGGAAGGGATGAGGGCCAGGAAGAGGTAGAAGGGGATTAGGGTCGGGTAGACCCACCCAGGGGGAGGAGGAAGGGGATGAGGGTGGGTTGGACCCCCCCAGGGGGAGGGGGAAGGGGATGAGGGTGGGTTGGACCCCCCCAGGGGGAGGGGGAAGGGGACGAGGGCGGGTTGGACCCCCCCAGGGGGAGGGGGAAGGGGACGAGGGCGGGTTGGACCCCCCCAGGGGGAGGGGGAAGGGGACGAGGGCGGGTTGGACCCCCCCCAGGGGGAGGAGGAAGGGGACGAGGGCGGGTTGGACCCCCCCAGGGGGAGGAGGAAGGGGACGAGCGCGGGTTAGACCCACCCAGGGGGAGGAGGAAGGGGATGAGGGCGGGTTAGACCCACCCAGGGGGAGGAGGAAGGGGACGAGCATGGGTTAGACCCACCCAGGGGGAGGAGGAAGGGGATGAGGGTGGGTTGATCCAGGGAGGAAGGAATCGGAGTATCGCGTCTTCTCCAGCTGCTGCTGTGTCCGAGGACAAGGCAGAGAAGTAACTCACTTTCCTTCGTGTTGTTGACCTCCAAGCGGAGAAAGTCCTCGTACTCCTGACGTCTGCAGGGGTCGGCCATGAATCTGCGGTACTTACAGAAACTCCTGACCAGGCACAGCATCTTGGACCAGCCCGAATTCTGGGGAGGGGAGGGTGTGGGGGGGCAGGCCCGTGAGCTTGGCTGACGCCCGGCCACGCACCCCGGAACTTGGCGTTTGGGCCCTCACGTCCAACAAGAGTTCTCTCAAGAGGAGCAATAGCACAGCGGGGAGGGTGCTGGCCTGGCATGCGGCCGACCCGGGTTCGATCCCCGGCATCCCATAGGGTCCCCCGAGCACCGCCAGGAGTGATTCATGAGTGCAGAGCCGGGAATCAGCCCTGAGCATCGCTGGGTGGGACCCAAGAAGCAAAATAATAATAATAATAATAATATTGGGTCCATCACCCAGATCAGCACCTTGATCAATATCTGGTCCATCACCCAGTTTAGCACCTTGATCAATATCTGATCTATCCATAGGGGCTGGAACGAGAGCCCAGTGGGGAGGGCGTTGGCCTGGCACGCGGCCGACCTGGGTTCGATCCCCGGCATCCCCCAGGGTCCCCTGAGCACTGCCAGGAGTGATTCCTGAGTTGCAGAGCCAGGAGTCAGCCCTGAGCATCGCCGGGTGGAACCCAAAAAAGCAAAAAACAAACAAACCACAAAACCAGGGGCTTGAGCGATAGCACAGCAGGGAGGGTGTTTGCTTTGCACGCGGCCGACCCGGGTTCAATTCCCAGCATCCCATAGGGTCCCCCGAGCCCCGCCAGGAGTGATCCCTGAGTGCAGAGCCGGGAGTCAGCCCTGAGCATCGCCAGTGGGACCCAAGAAGCAAAATAATAATAATAATAATAATATCTGGTCCATCACCCAGTTCAGCACCTTGATCAATATCTTGTCCATCATCTCAGTTCAGCACCTTGATCAATATCTGATCCATCCATAGGGGCTGGAGCAATAGCACAGCGGGGAGGGCATTTGCCTTGCACGTGGCCAACCCGGGTTTGATCCCTGGCATCCCCTAGGGTCCCCCGAGCACCGCCAGGAGTCAGCTCGGAGTACCCTAGGGGATGCCGGGGATCGAACCTGGGTCGGCCGTGTGCAAGGTCTTATCTACTCCTTGGACAAATAGTGGATTTTCATGCCACCTGCCTAAGCAGAAATGTGGGTGATTCCATCAACATCAGCATCGGGGGGCCGGGGGGAGCCCTGGGCTAGGCCGGCAGCCCCTGAGTAGGGGTGGGGTGAGGCACTGTGTCCCAAGCGTGCGTGACCTTCCCCTTCCTGCCCCACTGACCCAGTTTTCAATGAGGTAAGACACGGCCAACTTCGACAGCTTCTTCGCGGGTGGTTTAGCTACCGGTTCTGGTGGTTCTATGATCCGTGGCGGGAAAAGTTCTTGGTAGCTTTTAAACCTGTGGGGTGGGGAGAGGAAGGTCAATGCAGAGGCCACCTCGAATGACACGGTCTCAGGCTGGAGAGCGATAGCACAGCGGGAGGGCGTTGGCCTGGCACGCGGCCGACCCGGGTTCGATCCCTGGCATCCCCTAGGGTCCCCCGAGCACTGCCAGGAGTGATCCCTGAGCGCAGAGCCGGGAGTCAGTCCTGAGCATTGCCGGGTGGGACCCAAGAAGCAAAATATTAATAATAATGATAATAATAATAATAATAATATCTGGTCCATCACCCAGTTCAGCACTTTGATCAATATCTGATCTATCCATAGGGGCTGGAGCAATAGCACAGCAGGGAGGGCGTTTGCCGGCATGCAGCCGACCCGGGTTCGATCCCCGGCATCCCTCCCCCGAGCACCACCAGGAGTGATCCCTGAGCACAGAGCCAGAAGTCAGCCCTGAGCAATTCTAGCTCTGTCCAAAAATAAATGAGATAGATTAGGGTCTGAGAGATAGTCCAGCAGGGAGGGAGTTTGCCGGCATGCGGCCGACCCGGGTTCGATCCCCGGCATCCCATTGGGCCCCAGGAGCACTTCCAGGAGTGATCCCTGAGCGCAGAGCCGGGAGTCAGCCCTGAGCATCGCCGGTTGGGACCCAAACCAAGTAGGCAAATAAACAAACAAACAGCAAGCACTCTTCTTGGCCCCCAGACGAACTCCATCAGCCCCTGACCTTTCACAGAAACGTGTGTCTGTGAATGAGTGCGCTGGGCGCATGCCTGAGTGCCGGGCATGTGTGGTGCGTGCACTGTGAACATGCAAGGGTGTGGCGTGTGCTTATGGGGCGGACTGTGTGTAGCCAGGCGGCACGGCGCATTTTTTCCTTTTTGGGTCACACCCGGCGATGCTCAGGGCTGACTGTGGCCGCATGATGCGTGTGCCTCTGGGGCGGTTGCATGTTGTGATGGTGGACATGTGTGTGTTTGTGTCTGCGTGTGCGTGCGCGTGGGTGTGTAGATGTCAAAGCATGGGCATATGTGTGGATGGTCGTGCGTGCGTGTAGGCACGGCCCTGTGTGTGTGTGTGCATGCGTGTGTGTGCGTGAATGTATGTGCACGTGTGTTCATTTGTGTGTGCGTGTGTACAAGTATGTGTGTGCGTGTTGTACGTGTGTGCATGTGTGCACGCGTGTGCGTGTCTGCGTGTGTTGTGTGCGTGTTTCCTCATGTGTGCGTGTGTGTGTGCGGTGTGTATGTGCGTGTGTGCACGTGTATGTGTGTTCATGTTTGCACGTGTTGTGTGCATGTGTGTGTGCGTGTGCATGTTTGTGCGTGTGCGTGTGTGTGCCTGCAGGAGCTGCAGGGATGTATCACGACATCCACACCTGTGATCGCAGCTCAGAGGGGCCGGAGCACTAGGACCGCAGGGAGGGTGTTTGCCTTGCCAAACTCCCTCAATCTCCGTTATCCCATAGGGTCTCTCAGGCCTGCCAGGAGTGATCCCCGAGCACTGATCCAGGATTTGGCCCTGAGCGCTGTTCCGGGAGTCATCCCCCGAGCACTGTGCCGGGAGTCATCCCCTGAGCACTGTGCCGGGAGTCATCCCTGAGCACTGTGCCCCGAGCACCCCAGGTCTGCCCCCCGGGACAGCAACACACCAGCGCGCTGGGAGAGCAACCCGGCGGGCAGAGGCGTCCTCACCACGTCTCCTCCAGGTTCTTCGCGACTTGGCTCTGCACCAGCAGCAGGGAGGTGGTGCTGGCCTTGCGCAGCCCCACCAGGTCCTTGATGAAGGGGCTCTCGCACTGCAGCAGCTGCTCTGGAACACAGGGCGCGAGACGGCGTCACCCCCGCCTCTCCCCGGCCCCGGGACGGCCTCCCCCCCACCCCCGCCTCCCTCCGGCCCCCAGGGCTCGCTCAACTGCCGCTGGCCACACCCCTCACACGCAGCCCGGCCCGACTCAAAACCCACACAGGTCGCTGGAGGATCTCCCAAGCCCTGGAATGTTCTGGGCGAACACGGAGGCAGTTCCAGCGAGGGCGAGTGTGTGAGCGGGAGAAACGTTGGGAAACTTATTTCTGCTGCTAATGTGTTTTTTTGTGTGGTGGGGGACACACCCAGCAGTGCTCAGGGCTGACTCCTGTTTCTGTGCTCAGGGTTGACTCCCGGCTCTGTGCTCAGGGCTGACTCCCGGCTCTGTGCTCAGGGCTGATTCCCAGCTCTGTGCTCAGGGCTGACTCTTGTCTCTGTGCTCAGGGCTGACCCCCGGCTCTGTGCTCAGGGCTGACCCCCGGCTCTGTGCTAAGGGCTGACTCCCAACTCTTTGCTCAGGGCTCACTCCCCGCTCTGTGCTCAGGACTGACTCGCAGCTCTGTGCTCAGGGCTGACTCCTGGCTTTGTGCTCAGGGCTGACTCCCGGCTCTGTGCTCAGGGCTGATTCCCAGCTCTGTGCTCAGGGCTGACTCTTGTCTCTGTGCTCAGGGCTCACTCCTGGCATTGCTCCGGAGGGTAATATGATTGCTCAGGCATGGCTGAAGATGTGCCCTCCTATACCACAGTACAAAGTCTGTGCTACCCCTGGGAATATCCACGTCCTGTCTCCTGGGTCTTTGAAAACAATGTACAGAACTTAACACCCCAATAAATACGTACAAAGAAATACAAGGAAATACTTGTTAAGCTTTCGCTATTTTCAGGCACTCTATCACTACATCTTGTTCTCTATCATGACCTACCCCTCCCCTCAAAAATAATATCCCCTCTGTTATTTAAAATAAAATATCGGAGGGGCTGGAGTGATAGCCCAGCGGGGAGGGCATTTTACTGGCACACGGCCGACCCAGGTTCGATTCCCAGCATCCCATAGGGTCCCCCGAGCACCGCCAGGAGTAATTCCTGAGTGCATGAGGCAGGAGTCAGCCCTGAGCATCGCCGGGTGTGACCACCCCCCAAAAGATAAATAAAATAAAAATAAAAGCACATAAGACTCAACCTTTAACAACCTATTAGTGATCTCTTATAGAAGGGTTTAATGGCCCCTGGGTGAAATACAATAATCTCCACACTCTTTCCTCTAAGGAAAGTATTTTTTAAAAAATTTTTTGATTGGGGGGGGGTCCCACCCAGCGATGCTCAGGGCTGACTCCCGGCTCTGCACTCAGGAATCACTCCTGGCGGTGCTCGGGGGACCCTATGGGATGCAGGGGATTGAACCCAGGTTAGCCATCACGATCACGATCATCCTGTTGTTCATCGATTGCCTCGAGCAGGCCCCAGTAACGTCTCCTTCGTCCTAGCCCTGAGATTTTTAAAAAAGTGCCATATTCAAGGCTCTTTCAGGGTTAGGAGAATGAGACCCATCATTGTTACTGGTATTTGGTGGCATATTGGGTACGCCACGGGGAGTTTGCCAGACTCTGCCATGTGGGCAGGTGACATTCGGTAGCCTGCCAGGTTGTCCAAAGCAAGAACGAGATGATAAGATGTTAGCCGTGTACAAGGCAAACGCCCTCCCTGTTGTGCTATGGCTCCAACCAAAAAATTAATTTTTTTTAAAAACAACGACTACTCCCTGCGGTGCCCATGGACGCAGGAGACAGAGGGAGTGGAGAGTCTCACCGGGGGAGACGCGGCCATGGAAGAAAGTCTTGAATATGTGCTCCGAGAGCGTTTTGTAGATCTTCTCGTTGGTCTCTGTGACCATCCGTTGCATGGCCATCAGGAAGAGCAGCGGGCCCTCAGCGTCTCTCTCTTTGAGGAACTCTCGGAAGAATTCCAAGTGGGCTGTACTCATGAGGACATCCATTAAGTTCCTGGAAGACAAGTGAGTGTCGAAGGGGACCTCGGGGTCTGCCCAGTGAGGGAAGGGGCGTCCTAGTGCAGGGCCGTCGTTAGGTAAAAAGCAAAGTGATGTTCACGTTGGTCCATTAGGAATTCCCTTAGTCACCTGCTTCCTCCTGGTGGCTTGGTGGCCGTCATCCTCCAGAGGCCATTGGACAGTCAGGCTTGGGCCCGCAGTGAGGAAACTTGTTGGGCCTCACGGGGTGGGGCTGGAGCCGGTCCTGGTCTCCCCGTCCCAACAAGACCCCAAGTCATCGCCCATGAGCGGCCTCTCTGGCTCCTGATCCAGCTGCTTAATCAACGGCCATGATCCCAGAGACTCAGGAGCAAATCTCGAAACCCAGTGGCTTTTGGCAGAAATCCCTCCAGATTTAAGTGTGAAAATTTCGGAATTTCAAAATCACATGGCCCTACTGCAGCCACGCGACATCATATGTTCTTCATAACCAGCAATAGAACACAAATTGTCTACTATTGCCTTTTCAGCAGATCTGAGTGTTGGGGTGAAATCCCAAATAATAATGGTGGGTCTGGTGTCGAAATATTCAACGGGATCAAAGTAGAGAGAGAGGAATGGGGAGGGTAGGGGGTACAGGTTGGGGGGGAGGGGATGGGGGTATACTGGGGTTGTTGGGGGTGGAGAATGGGCACTGGTGAAGGCACGGGTGTTTCATTGTATGAGCGAGACTTAGATCCGGAAGTTTTGTAACTGCACTCACGGTGATTCAATAAATAAAATTATAAAAAATGAAAAAAAATAATTCTCTTCGTGGGGCCAGAGCGATAGCACAGCAGGTAGGGCGTTTGCCTTGCACCGTGGCCGACCCGGGTTCGATTCCCAGCATCCCATAGGGTCCCCTGAGCATCACCAGGAGTGATTCCTGAGTGCAGAGCCAGGAGGAACCCCTGTGCATCGCCGGGAGTGACCCAAAAAAGTAAAAGAAAAAAAAAACTCCCTTTGTGATCACTAAAACAATGGTGGTTGGAGGGATTGCTCACATAGGAGATGTGTCTGGAAAGTAGATCAAGGACCCAACGTGACGGCCTCTCAGTGTCTGCATTGCAAACCAGGATGCCCCAAAGGAGAGAGAGAGTCTGGGGGAGATTGTCTGCCATGGAGGCAGGGGGAGGGGTGGAAAGGGGGGATACTGGGGACATTGGTGGTGGGGAATGTGCCCTGGTGGAGGGATGGCTGTTTGATCACCGTATGACTGAAACTCAGACATGAAAGCTTGTAACTGCATCTCACTGTGAGTCAATAAAATAAAATAAATTTAAAAAAAGAGAAAGAAAAGAATTCCCTTCATGGAGGCTTGGAACATATCACAGTGGGGAGAGCATTTGCCTTACATGCAGGCAACCCGGGTTCAGTCCCCGGCATCCCCTAGGGTCCCCCGAGCACCGCCAAGAGTGATTCCTGAGTACAGAGCCAGGACTAACTCCTGTGCATCGCTGGGTGGGACCCAAAAGGAAAAGAAAGAAAGAAAGAAAGAAAGAAAGAAAGAAAGAAAGAAAGGAAGGAAGGAAGGAAGAAAGAAAGAAAGAAAGAAAGACCACAGTGTTAGCTTAAAAAAAAGTAACTGCATCTTACCTGGGTCGTAAGGAGGGCTTCCTTAAAAAACTCTTTTTGAAGAGCGATGTTTTCCTATGTTGGGCTAAAGAAGATATCTTTGGTTCTTTGGAAATTTCCACTGTAAAATCTAATGGAGAAAGAGAACCCAACGCAGGTATATAGATAAGAGATCAGAGCCAAAAATAATAACTGCAAAAATAAACATTGCTAAGTTTGAAGGGGATTTCTCGGGCATTTAGTCCACGGACAGACCGATTCCTGCAGCTGTTGTGTCTGAGGCTTCAGTCTGATTTGTTTGTTTTGTTTTGGGGGGCACAACCAGATGAGCTCAGGGCTGTCTCCTGACTCTGTGCTCAGGGCTGACTCCTGGCTCTGTGCTAAGAAATGACTCTTGGCTCTGTGCTCAGGGCTGACTCCTGGCTCTGCACTCAGGAGTTACTCCTGGCGGTGCTCAGGGGACCCTATGGGATGCTGGGAATTGAACCCGGGTCAGCCGCTTGCCAGGCAAACGCCCTACCCGCTGTGCTATCGCTCCAGCCCCAAGTTTACTTCTTATCAATAGCACCGCACTGTAGTACTGTCCTCCTGTTGTTCGTCAATTTGCTCGAGTGGGCCCAGTAACGTACCATGGTGACAATTGTTACTGTGTTTGGCATATTGAATACGTCGCTGGTAGCTTGCCAGGCTTTGCCATGCAGGTGGGATACTCTTGGTAGCTTGCCTGGCTTTCTGAGAGGGACGGAGGAATTGAACCCGGAGTCGGCCGCAGGCAAGGCAAACGCCCCACCCGCTACTTCTAATCAATACTTGCAGTTATTTGGATAAACACAGTTAAGAGATAAAGATTCCGAGAAGGACCACATGGAGGGCTGGCTCCACAGCTCCCGGAGAAGAAACCAGGTTCCAAAAAGAGCCGAGATCATCGGGAAGTCCCAGATGGGGGAGGTACCGCATCCCGCCTCCCCCAGATGGAACCCCGGTGACCAGAAGCCTCCACACGCATAGCTCGAGTATGCGGGAACTAGGACTTTTCCTCCAAACTAGGACTTTTCCTCTAGTGATTATGACAAAGTGATCATAATCACTCTGTATATACAAAGTGATCAATGGGAAGTAAATCACCCAACCTTTCTCCCTGAAAATCAGAGTTAAGTTTGGAGCAGGGCCACAGCCCCAGAAGCACAAGGACTTAATGCAGAACCCAGCGGCTTGGAGCAGAAAAGTGAACGGGCTATGTGTTAATCCAGGCCATCATGTCTGCCCGGAGGGGAAAGGGTGTTGCCCCATTCGCCCTCTCCTCTCTGGAAGGAAGATGGCGGCCACATGGGCACCTTGTGGAGAGCAGGTGTGAGCCGGGGGCACGGGGGCGACAAAAACCTCATGGGAAGGGGGGCGTCCCGGTCCGTCCTTCACACCCTACCAAGGTCACCAGTTGCCCCCCACGAGCAGCTCTCCGGCACGGCCACGACTCCAGAGCACAGAAACCAATCTCTTAATTATCTGACTCTCAGTAGAAATACTTCCAGGGTTAATTAGCAAAATCGCGGAAATCCAAAACCAACATTTAATTCTCGAACCCAGCTGTAGAAAGCGAATCACTCCACAATGCTTTCTCAGCATGTCTGATCTGGGTGGGGGGGGGGTAAACTCTAAATAATAGTGGTGCATCTTTTATTGAAACAATGAATCTAATCAAAGCAGATAGAGTGTCAACTAGAATTCATCTGCCTCGCAGGCATTGGGAGGGGCGGGGGGTGGGGTTTTATTGGGGTTCTTCATGGTAAAAAATAAGTATTGGTAAAGGGAAAGGTGTTTGATATTTGCATGACTGAGACCTAAACCTGAAAGCTTTGTAACTTTTCCCACAGTCATTCAATTAAAAAAAAAGAGAGATAAAGATTCCAAAACTCGGCTGGCGCAATAGCACAGCGGGGAGGGCGTTTGCCTTGCACGTGGCCGAACGGGGTTCGATTCCCAGCATCCCATAGGGTCCCCCGATGACCGCCAGGGGTAATTCCTGAGTGCGGAGCCAGGAGTAACCCCTGTGCATTGTTGGGTGTGACCCAAGAAAAAAGCAAAAATAAATAACAAATGAAATTAAATCGTTTGGGGCTGGAGTGATAGCACAGCGGATGGGGCTTTTGCCTTGCACACGGCTGACCCGGGTTCGATTCCCAGCGTCCCATATGGTCCCCTGAGCACCACCAGGAGTAATTCCTGAGTGCCATGAGCCAGGCGTAACCCTTGAGCATCGCTGGGTGTGAACCAAAAAGGGAAAAAAAAAAAGATTCCAAAACTTAGTTCTCTGGGCTTCAAGGGCAAGGCTGCCGGGCTTTACCGTAAATCCCAGACTAAATCCTCAGGATGGTCCGGCTTGTCCTTCCCCAGGGGAGGGGTCCTGTCTCTTAAGCCATCAGAGCTTGCATCCAGACCATGTTTTTATGCTTTTCAGACTGTCCCATTTCGATGCCGGGGTAGCTTTGCTGTTTGTGCTGGGTCCATTCATCCCAGTCCCATGGTGGGACTTCCCTTTTGGGGGCGTTAGAAACTACGGCAACGGAAGCCTGAGTCTAGTGATTATGACAGATGCCTAGGAGTGGATGACACTACACTTGATCTTAGCCAAAAGGCCGAGCAAGTCGATGAACAACGGGAGGACAGTGACAGTGACAGTGACAGTGACCAGGAGTGGATATATCTCAGAGACAACCAACCCTCGAATCTTAGGAGCACAGCATTAACGGTCTTTCTGTGTTGAAGCAAAGAACCTTATTCTATAGTCACTGTCATTGTCACTGTCCTGTTGTTCATCGATTTGCTCCAGTGGGTCCAGTAACGCCTCCTTGTGAGACTTGTTGTGACTGTGTTTGGCAACTCGAATACATCAGGGGAGCTTGCCAGGCTCTGCCGTGCGGGTGAGATTCTCTCAGGAGCTTGCCGGGCTCTCCGAGAGGGCGGAGGAATCGAACTCGGGTCGGCCATGTTGGCTGCATGCAAGGCAAACGCCCTACCGCTGTGCTATCGCTCCAGCCCACATAAATAAGTAGGACATTTAAAGCAATTTTGTTTTTGCTTTTTGGGTCACACCCGGCGATGCTCAGGGCTGACTCCTGGCTCTGCATACAGGAATCACTCCTGGCGGTGCTCGGAGGACCCTATGGGATGCCGGGGACCGAACCCGGGTCAGTCGTATTCAAGGCAAACGCCCTCCCAGTTGTACTATCGCTCTGTCCCCTTAAAAACATACTTTTAGGCCGGCCTCACATGCTAGGGGAAAAGGCAGTTCAGATAGAGAAGGGAGCACCAAGTAAAGGGTGTTTGGAGGGCCCGCTCAGGATGGGAGATGCGTGCCGAAAGTAGATTATAGACTGAACATGATGGCCACTCAATACTTGCATTGCAGACCACAACACCCTAAAGGAGAGAAAGAGAGAGTAAAAGGGAATGCCCTGCCACAGAGGCAGGATCGGGTGCGGGGGGTTTGGGGTAGGGGTGATGGGAGAGATACTGGGATTATGGCGGTGGAGAATGGGCACTGGTGGAGGGATGGGTACTTGATCATCGTATGACTGAATTGTAAGCAGGAAAGTTTGGAAGTCCGTAACTACCTCACGGTGATTCATTAAAAAAAAAATTTTTTTTTAAATTATGGGGCTGGAGCGACAGCACAGCGGGGAGGGCGTTTGCCTTGCATGCAGCCGACCCGGGTTCGATTCCCAGCATCCCATATGGTCCCCTGAGCACCCCAGGGGTAATTCCTGAGCGCAGAGCAAGGAGTAACCCCTGTGCTTCGCCAGGTGTGACCCAAAAAGGAAAAATAAAATAAATAAAAAATGAAAAAAAAAACCACTTTTAAACTCATCAGTAAGCTTGCAAGGAATTGAGGCAAAATAATTTCGAGAGACAGAGAGAAAGAGAGAGAGAGAGAGAGAGAGAGAGAGAGAGAGAGAGAGAGAGAGAGAGAATATGAAAACCAAAAATGTAAACTAATGCCAATACTTAGGATCTAAAAACCTTTGGACCCTGGAGAAGTACCAAAGTAAAGAAAATCGAAATGAAAACCAGAAGCTTTTGGAATATGGGCAAAAACCAAACCAAGCAATTTTTGGCATTGCCTTTGTTCTCAGAGCATTCAACAAAGACGGCAGCTGTAGGAGCAGTGTAGCAAAGCTTCTGGAAGATTCTCGGGGCAGAAGGGAGAGAAAACAAAATGTCAGTGAAGGAGAAGTATAAATAGCTCACGCTTGATGTCAAGGAGTAAAGGAAGCCTTACACAGCTCCAACATCAAAGATTCGAAAACTAATTTTAGACCAATTCATGCTCTAAATAGAGGGAGGTTTTCTGGGTGTCTCCACCCACGGCGTAAGCCAGAAGTGAATTGAAACCCTCTCTGCAGGGAAAAAAACACTAGGGCCAGGTCTCGGGATCCCACACAAGAGGAGAAACAACAAATCAGCAGAAGCCTTTGAAAACAAGATTCTTTTGTGCCTTCAAGGACTCTGAAGGGTGGAAAAAAATCACAGTTCCTCCATCTGCCCCAACGATGTGGAACGCGTCAAGAACTCTCCTAGCTACAGAACACAAAAGAACAAAAAAACGTGTTTCCTAACAATGGGCTGAAAAGGACTCGAACGCACGTTTCTCTGAAGCCAGGTCAGCATGCAAGGGACACGTGTCCACGACGCTTACATAAGTAGGACAACGCAGGGAAAACCAGGTATGAGCCGGTGGTGACGGGGCAACTGAAACCTCATGGGAATGGGGCGTTCCCGGCTCGTCCTTCACGCCCTACTGAGGTCACGAGTTGCCCCCCACGAGCGGCTCTCCAGCACGGCCATGGCTCCAGAGCCACGGAAACCAATCTCATAACTATCTGGCTCTCGGCAGAAATACTTCCAGGCTTAATAAGTAAAATATCAGAAATTGAAAATCGCGCGGCCGCTAGACATCATTTAATTCTTATAACCAGCTGTAGAAAACAAATTATTCCACAATGCCTTTTCAACAGGTCTGATTTGGGGGTGTAAACTCTAAACAAGAATGGTGCATCTTTTGTCGAAACAGTGAATCTAATCAAAGTAGATAAAGTGTTAATTAGAATTCATCTGCCTCACAGGCATTGGGAGGGCTGGGGGGGGTTATTGGGGTTTTGGGTGGTGAAAAATGAGTCCTGGTGAAGGGAAATGTGTTTGATGATTGTATGACCGAGACTTAAACCTGAAAGCTTTGTAACGTTTGCCACAGTGATTCAATAAATAAAAATTTTTTTAAAAAAAGGCTGGAGTGATAGACAACGGGTAGGGTGTTTGCCTTGCACACGGCTTACCCGGGTTCGATTCCCAGCATCCCATATGGTCCCCTGAGCACGGCCAGGAGTAGTTCCTGAGTGCATGAACCAGGAGGAACCCCTGAGCATCGCTGGGTGTGACCCAAAAAGCAAAAAAAAAAAAAAAAAGTCACAGTTAAGCTTGGACACAAACATGGCTGAACAGACTGGAGTAAATCAGATGGGGGGTGGGTTGACCTGGTGCCCACCCAAGCAGAGGCCACAGCCAGATGCTTGCTCCCACAGTCCAAAATCACTGCCATATTCCCGGCCTGACTCCACCGTCTCAGGACGGACCAAGATAAAATCTGAAAATTCGGGTATGCACAAAAGGAGAGAGAGAACAAAAGGGAATGCCCTGCCACAGAGGCAGGGTGGGATGGGTGGGGGTGGGGGGGTGGGAGGGATACTGGGATCCGTGGTGGTGGGAAATGGGCACTGGTGGAGGGATGGGTATTTGATCATTGTATAACTGAAACCCAAGCACAAAAATTTGTAAGTCTACAACTGTACCTCATGGTGTTTCACTAATAAAAATTAAAAAAAAAAAAATAAAGAGTAGAGAGGATATTTTTAAGGAGTATTTTTTATAAATGTCACCATTTTGTACTATTTAAATTCAACTGAAAAGTTATTAGTCTTGGGGCTGGAGCAATAGCACAGCGGGTAGGGCATTTGCCTTGCATGCAGCCAACCCGGGTTTGATTCCCAGCATCCCATATGGTTTCCTGAGCACCGCCAGGAGTGATCCCTGAGTGCAGAGCTAGGAGTCAGCCCTGAGCATCGCCGGGTGGGACCCAAAAAGCAAAAAAATAAAAAATAAAATAAAAGAACCACGACAGCCATGCCCTGGCATTCACGAGGATGGCTCTATTTCCGCAAGAAAAACTACAAGCATCGCTGGGGATAGCAGAATGGTCAGGGCCTCCCCACCCCACCCCCACAGAGCTGAGGGGCTGTGAATGCCCCGGCAAGATCCAAATCCACCCTGACCTTGAGCGCTTACCCACGGCAGGTGCTTTTTCAGAATATATTTTGAAGTCGTCACTGATCTTCTCGATGGCTTTCTTTGGGTACTTCGAGCTGAGCTCCTCAAAGGACATTTTTTCTGTGTCTGTGAAGAAGCGGGTGAGACAAGGAACGGAACTTGGGCTCACAGATTCCTACATTCCATGGTTTCACTGTCCCTGTTGAAAGTACGGCCTTTAAAAAAGTTATTTAGGGGCTGGAGCGATAGCACAGCGGGGAGGGCGTTGGCCTTGCACGCGACCAACCCGGGTTCGATTCCCAGCATCCCATATGGTCCCCTGAGCACCGCCAGGAGTGACTCCTGAGTGCAGAGCCAGGAGTAAACCCTGTGCATCACCAGGTGTGACCCAAAAAGCAAAAAAAAAAGTTATTTAGGGGGCTGATGGCACAGCAGGGAGGGTGCTGGCCATGCGTGTGGCTGACCTGGGTTCGATCTCCAGTCTCCCACCTGGGATCCACCAGCAGTGCTCCCTGAGCACTGAAAGGAGTGCTCCCCCCTCAACAGACAAAAATGCTATTGAGGCATGTGGTTCAAAGCCCACCCCCGGGGCTGGGGCTGGAGCGATAGCACAGCGGTAAGGGTGTTTGCCTTGCACATAGCAGACCCGGGTTCGATTCCTAGCATCCCATAAGGTCCCCCGAGCACCGCCAGGAGTGATTCCTGAGTGCATGATCCAGGAGTAACCCCTGTGCATCGCCGGGTATGAACCCCCAAAGAAAAAGCAAAAATAAAAAAGCCCCCCCCCCCGGGGCAGGAGAGATAGCACAGCGGGTAGGGCGTTTGCCTTGCACGCAACCAACCTGGGTTCGATTCCCAGCATCCCATATGGTCCCTGAGCACCGCCAGGAGGAATTCCTGAGAGCATGAGCCAGGAGGAACCCCTGAGCATCGCCGGGTGTGACCCAAAAAGCAAAAAGCAAAAAAAAAAAAAAAGCCCAACCCACCAACACCAATATGTAATTCAACCAGTACTCCAGTCTTTAGTAGAGACAACGTCATCCTTCTTTTGCACAGGGCTGATGCACTGTGTCCTCTCCCAGGCTAGAAATCCATCACCCAGTTCCCCCCGCAGAAGGGTCCAGAAGAAACAAAGAATGAAGGGGTGCGACCTCACCTTCTAGAAACACCGGGGACTTCAGCTCCACCTGCAGGGAGCCGTTCTGCTCGAGGTTCTCCGTGGCAATCTTCTCCCACTGCAGGGACTCCATCGCTTCCATGTTAGCCAGGCCTTGGCTTAATTCCAGCGCCTCCTGGAACCGCTTATAAAGAAGAATGTTCTTCTCTCTGCTGATGGGCTCTCTCTTCTGGGGCCCCGTGGGGGCCAACTTGGTCTGGGTCTAAGAGAAAGTGAATGGAGAGGGCTGGAGCGACAGCACGGAGGGGAGGGTGTTGGCCTTGCAGACAGCCAACCCGGGTTCGAGTCCAGGCATCCCCTAGGGTCCTCTGAGCACCACCAGGAGTGATTCCTGAGTGCAGAGCCAGGAGTTAGCCCTGAGCATCGCTGGGTGGGACCCAAAAAGACACACATAAAGAAAGACAGAAAGAACGAACAAAAGAAAGTGAAAGAAGGAAGGAAGGAAGGAAGGAAGGAAGGAAAGAAAGAAAGAAAGAAAGAAAGAAAGAAAGAAAGAAAGAAAGAAAGAAAAAAAGAAAGGTTTTTGTAGGGGAGCCATAGTCCAGTGGGGAGGGCGTTTGCCTTGCACGCGGCCGACCCGGGTTCGATCCCCGGCATCCCATAGGGTCCCCCAAGCACCGCCAGGAGTGATCTCTGAGCGCAGAGCCAGGAGGAACCCCTGAGCATCTCTGGGTGGGACCCAAAAAGCAAAAAAAAAAAAAAGAAAAAAAAGAAAAGAAAAAAAAGGGAGGCTGGAGCAAAGGCACAACAGGGAGGGCATTTGCCTTGCATGCAGCTGACCTGGGTTCGATCCGCAGCATCCCATAGGGTCCCCTGAGCACCGCTAGGAGTGATTCCTGAGTGCAGAGTCAGGAGTCAGCCCTGAGCATTGCCGGGTGGGACTCAAGAAGACACATGCAAAGAAAGAAAGAAAAAAAGAACGAAAGAAAGAAAGTGAAAGAAGGAAGGAACGAAAGGAAAGAAAGAAAGAAAGAAAGAAAGAAAGAAAGAAAGAAAGAAAGAAAGAAAGAGAGAAAGAAAGAAGGGTTTTTGTAGGGGAACCATAGTCCAGCGGGGAGGGCATTGGCCTTGCACGTGGCCGACCCAGGTTCGATCCCCGGCATCCCATAGGGTCCCTCGAGCACCGCCAGGAGTGATTCCTGAGTGCAGATCCAGGAGGAACCCCCGAGCATCGCCGGGTGGGACCCAAAAAAAAAACAGAAAAAAATAAGAAAAGAAAAAAAAAGGGAGGCTGGAGCCATAGCACAACAGGGAGGGCATTGCCTTGCATGCAGCTGACCTGGGTTCAATTCCCAGCCCGGGTCCCCTGAGCACTGCCAGGAGTAATTCCTGAGTGCAGAGCCAGGAGTGAGCCCTGAGCATCACCGGGTAGGACCCAAAAAGCCAAATAATAATAATAATAATAATAATAATGAGGGAAAGGGGGCTGGAGCAATTTTTAAAATTTTAAAATTGTGACCTCTTGCTTCTTATTGGCTAAGAACCATAGCGCTTTGCTCCCCATTGGTTCAAACTATGGCCTCTTGCTTCCCGTTGGCTAAGGACCATGGCCTCTTGCTTCTCATTGGCTGGAGAACCATGGCCTCTTCTCATTGGCTAGAGAACCATGGCCTCTTGCTTCTCATTGGCTAGAGAACCATGGCCTCTTGCTTCTCATTGGCTAGAGAACCATGGCCTCTTGCTTCTCATTGGCTGGAGAACCATGGCCTCTTCTCATTGGCTAGAGAACCGTGGCCTCTTGCTTCTCATTGGCTAAGAACCATGGCCTCTTGCTTCTCATTGGCTAGAGAACCGTGGCCTCTTGCTTCTCATTGGCTAAGAACCATGGCCTCTTGCTTCTCATTGGCTAGAGAACCGTGGCCTCTTGCTTCTCATTGGCTAAAATATAGTCCTTCACTTCCCATTGGATAAAAAACATGCCCTCTCATTGGCTAAGAACCACAGCCTCTTGTTTTCCATTGACCAAGAACCATGACCCTCTTGCTTCTCATTGGCTACCAGGCTTAGCCCCTTACTTCTCATTGGCTAAGAACCATGACTCCGTAGAGACCCACCCTGCCCTCCTTCAATAGATGCATTTGCGAGAAGGGAGAGCTTCTAGTGAAGGTCTTTTTTTAAAATTAAATTAAATTAAATTAATTAATTAAAAAAATTTTTTTTGCTTTTTAGGTTACACCTGGCATTGCACAGGGCTTTCTCCTGGCTCTGCACTCAGGAATCACCCCTGGCAGTGCTCAGGGGACCATATGGGATGCTGGGAATCGAACCTGGGTCTGCAGCGTGCAAGGAAGATGCCCTACCCACTGTGCTGTTGCTCCAGCCCCCTAGAGACTTAATCTTAGGATGCCAACCTCCAGTTACTCTGGGGAAATTAAAACAGCCTTGACTTGAACACTTAGCACGTCTCAAAGCCACCGGCCACCCCCAGCCTCATAACTGCCCCACCCCAAACCCAGGTTCTTCCTACGGTGAAACTGAGAAACCAAAAGTCCTCTTCTTCCAGGAATTCGGCATACCAGCGGCTGAGCATCTGAAACGCAAACACATGCAAAAATGGGGTTGCCGTGAGGCAGTGCTCCGTGCCACAGTGCTCTGTGCTCCCAGGATGAGGGGGTTGGGGTTACAGGGGTCCCGCCTTCAGAGATGGAACCCCAAAGAAGGATTGAGCCCCAAATTTTAGCTTCCTCTGAGTGGAATCTGCAACCAGGACCGCCTCGCTCTCATAACAGAGCCCAGTGATGAATTAATGAACAACTCCATTAAAATTTGAATAGAGGGGCTCGAGGGATAGCACAGCGGGGAGGGCGTTGGCCTTGCACGTGGCCGACCCGGGTTCGATTCCCAACATCTCATAGGGTCCCTCGAGCACCGCCAGGAGTGATTCCAGAGTGCAGAGCCAGGAATAATCCCTGTGCATTGCCAGGTGTGACCCAAAAAGCAAAAAATAAATGAATAAATAAAAATAAGTAAAAGGTAAAGTAAAAAGTAAAGGCCCTCCCGTTGATCATCAATTTGCTCGAGCGGGCCCAGTAACGTCTCCATTGGAGACTTTGTTGTTACTGTGTCTGGCATATCGAATACGTCACGGGGAGCTTGCCAGGCTCTGCCGTGCGGGCGAGATCCTCTCGGTAGCTTGCCGGGCTCTCCGAGAGGGGCGGAGGAATCGAACTCGGGTCGGCCATGTTGGCTGCATGCAAGGCAAACGCACTACTGCTGTGCTATCACTCCAGCAGAGAATTGGACATGGGTGGGGGGGTTGAGGCCATAGCACAGCAGGGAGGGTGTTTGCCTTGCACGTGGCTGATCTGGGTCTGATCCCCGGCATCCTATAGGGTCCCCTGAGCACCGCCAGGAAGTGATTCCTGAGTGCAGAGCCAGGAGTCAACCCTAAGCATTGCCACGTGGGACCCTCCAAAAGTCAAAAGAACAAAAAAGAAGTAGAAATGCTGAATCCCTTGGTGGTTCTGTTTTTAGCTTCTTTTATTATTATTATTATTATATTATTATTATTATTATTATTATTATTTGATTTTTGGGTCCCACCCAGCGATGCTCAGGGCTGACTCCTGGCTCTGCACTCAGGAATTACCCCTGGCAGTGCTCAGGGGACTCTATGGGATGTCGGGGATTGAACCCGGGTCAGCTGCGTGCAAGGCAAATGCCTTCCCTGCTGGGCTATCACTCCGGCCCCCGTTTTTCGCTTCTTGTTTGTTCTTTGGGGGAAACCAGCGTTTGCCCTAGACCAGGCAAGCGACTTGAGATCTGCCTGGCGTGCAAAGAATTCTCTGGGCAAATTTCTCACCATCTTCGGGAGCAGATACAAATCCCAGTGGGAGCCAGGAAGCACCTACCTTGCAGATCTCCTCCTGGGCCCTGGGGACCCAGGGGTTCACGTCCCCGGAAGGCAGCATCTTCCGTAGGCCCTGGATGGTCCTGGCCTTGAGGGGCAGCTGGGGCCTGGCGTTGGGGCTCAGGTAGAGCTCACAGATCCGGTTGCCCAGCAGGTGCAGAAAGACGGCGTTGCCCGTGGAACGGTTCTGCGTCAAGACACTGAGAAAGTGCCGGAGGTCCTGCCAGAGATCCAAGAGCTTGATCCCCACCGCCAGACCCCGCTTCTTCAAGTAGGCGCGGAGGGGACCCCCGGAGTAGGCATCGGCGCTCAGCGCCCAGTGGGTGCACCCCAGGGAGAAGCCACACTGGCTGGCCTTGCTGGCCGTCATGTGGGACGTCTGGTTGATGATGGGGGTGAGCGTGCGTAAGTGCAGGTGGAAGTTTTTCTCGAAGAGCCCCTCCATGCGGAAGGGGGGCTGGATTCTCTCCGTCCTGGGGGCTTTCCCGGCCAAGAGCGGGTCGCTGTCCAGATAACACGCTGTCTTTCTCTTCCCGGGCGCCTCTCGGGCAGAAGGCACGGCCGGAAGGCTCTCCCTTTCCTCCTTCTCCTTTTCCTCCTCCTCCTCCTTTTCCTCCTCCTCCTCCCCAGCCTCCTCCAGTGGGTACAGGTGCCAGGGCGACAGGATGGTCCTGTTGGCATTGGAGATCATCTCCAGCGACCACGAGTCCCCACGGATCATCTGCCACATCTTTCTCTTCATCTTCTGGCTAGAGTACTGCTTCTGGGCGTAGCAGCTGGGCTGGAGGCTGGTGTTCCCGGGGGCCTTCCCGGCGTGCTGACAGCAGATGCTACAGGTGCGGGTGTCGTACTCTTGCATGAGTCCCTGGCACTGCGCGTCTCGGGCCAGCATCATCTTGGCGTGCGTGTAGAAGTTTGGGAGCCAGTAACTCTGCAGTTTGAAGAGGGCGACTTTCTGCATGTGACTCAGGACCTCCCTCCTGGTGGTGGACTGGGTGGGGTGCCAGATGGAGAGGTTCAGGAGCGACTCTGCATGCAATCAACCAACAGAGGGACGCGGCCATGAGCCGGTGACAGGGCTGGGGAGATGTTGATTATCGGTGATCAGCATCTCAGCACTGCACCGGGAGATTCCGGGGCAGGGGTGGGTCAAGTTCGCAGCGAGCTTTGTTGTTGTAAGGTCGCAAGAGCTCCCAGTAACCCCTTTCCACCCCTTCCGCCTTTCCCTTGAGAAAGAAGGCACTGGGGGCTGGAGTGAGAGTTCAAAGGGCACGCAGCCGACCCGGGTTCGAGCCCCGGCATCCCATAGGGTCCCCCGAGCACTGCCAGGAGTGATTGCTGAGTGCAGAGCCAGGAGTTAGCCCTGAGCATCACTAGCTCCCTCCAAAAAAAAAAATGAGATATATCAGGAGCTAAGAGATAGCACAGCAGGGAGGGCGTTTGCCCCTGCATGAGGCCGACCCGGGTTCGATCCCCGGCATCCCATAGGGTCCCCTGAGCACCGCCAGGAGTGATCCCTGAGTGCAGAGCCAGGAGTCAGCCCTGAGCATCGCCGGGTGGGATCCAAAAGGCAATAATAATAATAATAATAATAATAATAATAATAATAATGAAGAAGCACCAAGCCACTCTGCTTCAGAACACAGGGGTGTGACTTGGCCCTTTGCACACCCATCAGCTACTCTTTTTTTTTTCTTTTTGGGTCCCACCCGGCGATGCTCAGGACTGACTCCTGGCTCATGCACTCAGGAATCACTCCTGTCCGAGCTCAGGGGACCCTATGGGATGCCGGGGATCGAACCTGGGTCGGCTGCGTGCAAGGCAAACGCCCTACCTGCTGTGCTATCCCTCCAGCCCCTTATTTTTAATTTAATTTATTTATCATTATCATTATTATTATTATTATTATTATTATTTGCTTTTTGGGTCCCACCCAGCGATGCTCAGGGCTGACTCCTGGCTCATGCACTCAGGAATCACTCCTGTCGGAGCTCAGGGGACCCTATGGGATGCTGGGGATTGAACCTGGGTCGGCCGCGTGCCAGGCAAACGCCCTCCCCGCTGGGCTATCCCTCCAGCCCCCTTATTTTTAAATTTATTAATTATTATTATTATTAATATTTGCTTTTTGGGTCCCACTTAGCGATGCTCAGGGCTGACTCCTGGCTCATGCACTCAGGAATCACTCCTGGCGCTGCTCGGGGGACCCTAGGGGGTGCCGGGGATCGAACCCGGGTCAGCCTCGTGCCAGGCCAACTCCCTCCCCGCTGGGCAATCGCTCCAGCCCCATCGTCAGCTACTCTTTCCAGAAATATCCCCGGAAGAGGCAGATCTGGCGCTAAAGAGAGCGGGTCAGTCCCGGACAGCTCAGTGCTGAGGGACCGAATCTGCATCCCGGGAGAAGGGAACAGCCAATCAGAGAAGGGGGCGTGGCCTGGACCAACCGCGGGCGCATCCGAGATGCTGGGCGGGATGCAGGCTTACTGATGTTCATGTTGCAGAGCGTGGCCACCCGGGAGCCCTCCTGCAGGTGGGTGGCCTTCAGCATGAGGAGCAGGGACAGGTAGTGGTCTCTCGCGTCCAGGTCCATCTCGTCCACGCTCAGGATCTTCTCGGCGAGAATCCAGAAATCCCACAGTTCCTCCCCTGCAGACGGGACGGACACCACGGTCAGCCCTGCGCTCGCAGACGCTGCACCGGGGACACACAGGGAGATGGGACAGCGGGGCAGGCACTGGCCAGGGCCGGTGGCCGACCTGAGTTCGATCCCCAGCGCTGCGTCTGGTCCCCTGAGCACAGAGCCAGGAGTAAGCCCCCCCCCCATACAAAAAATAATTTTAAAAAAGACATTTATTAAAAAGGCATTCGGGGGGCTGGAGAGATAGCACGGTGGGTAGGACATTTGCCTTGCACGCAGCCGACCCGGGTTCGATTCCCAGCATCCCATATGGTCCCCTGAGCACCAGCAGGAGTGACTCTTGAGTGCAGAGCCAGGAGGAACCCCTGTGCATAGCCAGGTGTGACCCAAAAAGTGAAAAAAAAAAGGCATTCGGGCTGCCATATAGATGCTCAGTAAGCACTGTTAGAGCAATCAATGAATAAATAAAATGAGACTCTTTTCTTTTCCTTCTTTTTCTTTTTAAATTTCTTTTTTGGGTCACACCCAGCAACGCACAGGGCTCACTCCTGGCTCTGCACTCAGGGATCACTCCTGGCGGAGCTCGGGGGGACCCTATGGGATGTCGGGGATCGAACCTGGGCTGGCAGTGTGCAAGGCCAATGCCCTCCCCCCTGTGCTATCGCTCCGGCCCCGGAAAGTCGTTTTTAATTCATTTTTTAAATTTTATTTTGCTTTTTGGGCCACACCCGGCGATGCTCAGGGCTGACTCCTGGCTCTGCACTCAGGGATCACCCCTGGCGGTGCTCAGGGGACCCTATGGGATACCGAGGATTGAACCTGGGTCAGCTGCGTTCCAGTCCTCTGTGCTATCGCTCCAGCCCCCCACCTCCTATTTTCCTCATTTATTTATTTATTTATTTTGGCTCTTTGGGTCACACCCAGTGATGCTCTGGGCTCTGCATTCAGGAATCATCCCTGGCAGTGCTCAGGGGAGTCCTATGGGATACCGGGGATCGAACCCGGGTCGGCCGCGTGCCAGTCCAACGCCCTCCCCGCTGTGCTATCACTCGGACCCCAAGGGACTCATCCCTCTTGCCTGAACCCACACGTGGACGCCAGTGTTCTGAGACTGGTGCCCAAAGGACAGCATAACGCCGTGGCCCCCAGCATCGGGGATACAGCGGTCACCGCCGCGGGGACAGTGAGGAGCGAGTGACCCCCACCTGCACTGCCCTTGAGGTAGCTGAAGAAACGCCACATGCCGCGGACGCTGCCGATGCACTTCTGCAGCAGCCACTGGTCCGCCTTCTTCCACTTCATCATGCTGGCTGGGGGGAGGGGCGAGAGGGGAGGGGCCTCGCAGGATGGTCGGGGCGGGAGGGGAGGGGCGTCCCCAGGTTCACAGCTGCACCCCACTGGGAGATCAGGGCTCCTCGGACGGGCCGGGTCCTGGTGCTTCTCGGGAGCCCCTTCCCTGCACAACTCAGATCAGACCCCCCAGCCAAAGCCCCTCATCTTAACAGGACCCCCGCCCAGTCTCAGCAGGGGGGGGGCTGCCCCGATAATCCTATAATTTTTTTTTTTGCTTTTTGGGTCCCACCCGGCGATGCTCAGGGCTGACTCCCGGCTCTGCACTCAGGACTCCCTCCTGGCCGTGCTCGGGGGACCCTATGGGATGCCGGGGATCGAACCCGGGTCGGCCGCATGCAAGGCACATGCCCTCCCTGCTGTGCTATCGACCCAGCCCCTAATCCTATAATTTCCCCATTAGAATGGAGCAGGGAGGAGAGTGTGGCAGGATTTGGTTTCCACACGTTTGCTGACGGGGTTCCATCTCTTAACTGCCCTGTGGTGAAACTGTTCATCCACTCATTGCTCTAATGGTGCTTACTGAGCATGTTATAGCAGCCCTGGATGCAATCTCCAGCATCCCAGAGGCTCCCTTGAGCACCACCCGGAGTGAGCCCTGAGCATAGAGCCAGGAGTCAGCCCTGAGCACAGAGCCAGGAGTCAGCCCTGAGCACAGAGCCGGGAGTCAGCCTGAGCACAGAGCCAGGAGTCAGCCCTGAGCACAGAGCCAGGAGTCAGCCCTGAGCACAGAGCCGGGAGTCAGCCCTGAGCACTGCTGGGTATGGCCCCCTCAAAGAAAGCTTCACTTCCTTTGCCCATAGGAGCTAGAAGTCACCAACACTATCCCCAAAAGACACAGCGTCCACTCAATTCTTTTTGGTTTTGGTTTTTCATTTGGGGGCCACCATTGACTGTGCTCAGGGTTTACTCCCGGTTCTGTGCTCAGCTATCTCTCCTGGCAGGGGGACGGTCACATGAGATGCCGGGGATCGAACCTGGGTCAATAGCGCATGGGCAGCAAGCAAGAACCCTCCCCGTTGTCCCATCGCTCCAGCCCCGTGTTCCTTCATTCTTTCATCAAAGGTGTGTCGCCTGGGGTTGGAGCGATCGCACAGCGGGGAGGGCGTTGGCCTTGCACGCGGCCGACCCGGGTTCGATCCCCGGCATCCCATAGGGTCCCCAAGCACCGCCAGGAGTGATCCCTGAGTTCGAAGCCAGGAGCAACCCCTGAGAATCACCGAGTGTGACCCAAAAAGCAAAAAAAAAAAAAATGCACAGGTAACCGTGTCTAGAAAGGTAACTGTGTCTAGAAAGGTGTGTTGCCTGCTGAATGCTGAGTGTGGGTGTTCAGAAGACTTCCACAAGCCGAGTCACACTCCTGCCCCGAGGGGAGCTTGCGTGCACACAACCATACTCGCTCACATGCACACACACACACACACACACACACACACACGCACACACACGCACACACTGGCTGACCTCCTTCCGGGGACTTGATGAAGCCAATAAACTCCTGGCAGAGAATGTACTGGAAACACAAATCCGTCTTGCAGAAGAAAGGCAGCGGTATTTTTCCAGCCACATCAGCAGCCCTTTGTACTTGGAGGTCTAGAAGCAAAGAAGACAAGATTGACCCCCTCCGCCCCCCACAAGAAAATGCAGTTTTGGGGCGGGAGCGATAGCACAGCGGGGAGGGCGTTTGCCTTGCACGCAGCCGACCCGGGTTCGATCCCGGCATCCCATAGGGTCCCCCGAGCACTGCCAGGAGTGATTCCTGAGTGCAGAGCCGGGAGTCAGCCCTGAGCATCGCCGGGTGGACCCAAAAAGCAAAATAATAATAATAATAATAAAATAATATCTGGTCCATCACCCAGTCAGCACCTTGATCAATATCTGATCCATCCATAGGGGCTGGAGCGATTGCACAGCGGGTAAGGCATTTGCCTTGCACGCAGCTGACAGGGGTTCGATTCCCAGCATCCCATAGGGTCCCCCAAGCACCACCAGGAGTGATCCCTGAGTGCAGAGCAGGAGTCAGCCCTGAGCATCACCAGGTGGGACCCCAACAGGCCAAAATAATAATATTAACAACAACAATAATAATAAGAGTCATGGGACTGGACAGATAGCACAGCGTGGAGGGCGTTTGCCTTGCACACAGCCGACCCAGGTTCGATCCCGGCATCCCATAGGGGTCCCCCGAGCAGCGCCAGGAGTGATCCCTTGAGTCCAGAGCCAGGAGTTGGCCCTGGGCACGAGAGGATTCTTCCAATACCGACTCTGAGCATTCCTAATTGGCCAGATGGCAGATAGCAGGAAGACCAATCAGGTCCCGCCAACCGTGACTCAAAGTCCCCAAACTTATGTGGCCTCACGGGCCCTTTTCACCCACAAAAGTCCGTGTTCCAGGGAGAATCAATTTTCTTTAAGCAAATAATCAGAAAGTGACCCCCCTTCCACACACACACAGAGCCCTCAACTTGCATAGAAGCTAACCCAGCCCCATTGGGTCCTTCCTGCATTTTGCCACTCATGGGCTCAGTCAAGTGGACACCACGTGGCCGGGCCAACCATCTGCCTAGCGCCCCCCCACGCCCTTTGCTCTGCCCGCTGGACACCCCCTTGTGTCCACTCACCAGCTCTCCCCTCCTTTCCCACTCAGTTCCCGCAGCCCAATCTCCAGCCTGTCACTCACCAGGTTGGGCGGGATTTCCGGCCACAGGCTCCACTGGGACAGTTCAACCGTGTAAAACGGGGTCTGGCCAAACACCTGCAGAGCCAAGAAACAGCCCAAGGCTGGGCCTGGGGTCCTCGGGGCGTGGAGGGGCGCCTGGACGGCACGGACCCTGCCCCGGAACCCACAGGCGTTGCACAGACCATGAACCCTCACGCCACCCCCGCAACCTTCCTTGATGGCTGCCTTGGTGGGGGACCCTTAGAAGTCGGGATGCAGAAGGCAGGTGACTGGAGCACACGGGAAGCTTTATCCCCACCCCCCCCCCCCCCGATGTAGAGGTTTAATTAAAGTGAAGGGCTGAGGGCCGACTGATAGAGCAAGGGAAGGGGCTTGTCATGCATGCGGCTGACCCGGGTTCAATCCTGGGCACCCCATGGGGTCCTCCTGCTAGGAATGAGCCCTGAGCACTGAGCCTGGAGTCAGCCCTGAGCATAGAGCCAGGAGTCAGCCTTGAACGCAGAACCTGGAGTCAGCCCTGAGAACAGAGCCAGGAATGAGCCCTGAGCGCAGAGCCAGGAGTGAGCCCTGAGCACAGAGCCGGGAGCCAGCCCTGAGCACAGAGCCAGGAGTCAGTCTTGAGCACAGAGCCAGGAGTCAGCCCTGAACACAGAGTCAGGAGTGAGCCCTGATCACAGAGCCAGGAGTGAGCCCTGAGCACAGAGCCAGGAGTCATCCTGAACACTGATTGAGGAGTCATCATTGGGCACTGACTCATGAGCCATCCATGAGCACTAACCTGGAGTCATCCCTGAGCACAGAGCCAGGAGTCAGCCCTAAGCACAGAGCCAGGAGTTAGCATACAGCCGGGAGTGAGCCCTGAGCACAGAACCAGAAGTCATCCCTGAGTACTGATTCAGGAGTCACCACTGAGCACTGACTCATGCACCATCCCTGAGCACTGATCTGGGAGTCAGTCGTGAGCACTGATCCAGGAGTCAGCCCTGAGCACTGCCAGGCGTGCTAATCCCCCCCTCCCAAAACATGTTGTTGGGTAAGGCCACCGCCAGGGGCTGCAGAGGGGCAGCTGCCGGGTTCAGGGCCCCGTGCCGGGTTCCAGGTGGAGCCCTTGGCCGGGAGAGAGTGATGAGAAGCCGGGAGGCCCCGGGCCGAGTCTGGAGGTCAAACAGGTTGAGGCGCCCGGAGATTTCGGAGGCGATTCCGGTCCGCATATTTACTGGCCCCAATGGGGGTGGTCTGGGTCTGGGGGAGGCGAACCCCCAAACCAAGTCGGGCTGGAGCGTGGGGGTCTTGCGGGGAGAGCACTTACCGGGAGCGAGAGAAACGTGTTGAAGAAGTCCGCGAAGGTGGCATCCTCCAGCAGGGTGAGCAGGTCGGTAGAGCCAATGACCTCTGCGCGGGAGGGGCACACAGAGCCGATTGCATCGGGACAGGGACCCCGAGTGGGTTAGCGCCAAGCCCTGGCAGGTGCTTGGATGGTGCCCGGAGGAGGAAGGAAGGAGGGAAGGAGGGAGGGAGGGAGGGAGGAGGGAGGGAGGGAAGGAAGGGAGGGAGGGAGGGAGGGAGGGAGGGAGGAGGGAGGGAGGGAAGGAGGGAAAGAGGGAGGGAGGAGGGAGGGAACGGAAGGAATGAAGGAGGGAGGGAGGGAGGAAGGGAAAGGAGGAAGGAAGGAAGGAAGGAAGGAAGGGAGGGAGGAAGGGAGGGAGGGAGGAAGGAGAGAGAAGGAAAGGAATGAAGGAGGGAGGGAAAGAGGGAGGGAGGGAAAGGAGGAAGAAGGAAGGAAGGAAGGAAGGAAGGAAGGAAGGAAGATGAAAAAGGAAAGGGGAAGGAAGGAGGGGAAAGAGGGAAGGATGGAAGGGAGGGAGGGAGGGAGGGAAGGAAGGAAGGAAGGAAGGGAGGGAGGGAGGGAGGGAAAGAGGGAGGGAGGAGGGAGGAACGGAAGGAATGAAGGAGGGAGGGAGGGAGGAAGGGAAAGGAGGAAGGAAGGAAGGAAGGGAGGGAGGGAGGAAGGAAGGAAGGAAGGAAGGAAGGGAGAGAGGGAAAGAGGGAGGGAGGAGGGAGGAATGGAAGGAATGAAGGAGGGAGGGAGGGAGGAAGGGAAAGGAGGAAGGAAGGAAGGAAGGAAGGGAGGAGGGAGGGAGGGAGGAAGGAGAGAGAAGGAAGGAATGAAGGAGGGAGGGAAAGAGGGAGGGAGGGAAAGGAGGAAGGAAGGAAGGAAGGAAGGAAGGAAGATGAAAAAGGAAAGGGGAAGGAAGGAGGGGAAAGAGGGAAGGATGGAAGGGAGGGAGGGAGGGAGGGAGGGAGGAAGGAGGGGAGGGAGAGAATCCAGGGCACCAGGGAAAAATTCACGCATCATTCTGAGTTTATTGGCAGGGGGGTTCGGGGAGAGCTCACCCAGCAATACCTGGGGTTGCTTCTGGCTCTGCGCTCAGGAATCCCTCCTGGCGGTGCTCGGGGGACCCTAGGGGATGCTGGGGATCGAACCCGGGTCGGCCCCTGCAAGGCCAGCGCCCTCCCCGCTGTGCCGTCTGTCCAGCCCTGGTCCGTTTATCCACAGGGTACTCACCCAACAGTGCTCCTCAGTCTGCTAAGTAGCGGAGGGGGAAGAATTCCACCCTCACCCCCCCAAGAGTCGTGGGGTCCTTGGGAGACCTTATTGCTCCTTGGACACCCTCAAGCCCGGTGGTCACCTCCTCCGGGGAGGGGAGGGGAGGACCCCGTCCACAGTGACATCAGATTTCAAATTTGGGGTCTCCCCTCAGAAACACATGGCGGCATTGGGGGATGGAAAAATGGGAGCCAGGATAACGCTGGGTCCATGCGTGGGACCCCTGGTTTAGGCCTTCACTGGTTGTCCACACTGGGGGGCTCAAAAGTGGGACCCCCCCTACTCACCTGTGTTTGTTCATGTCACCATAAACCCCCCGCTACTGCGGGAAGTAGCCACGGAACCCCCAACGCCGAGCACACACAGGGACGGGGGTTCCACCCGAGGGTTCTGGGTTCCACAGGAAGCGCCTCGTTCAGCGTCCACGGCGGCCAGAGAGCATCTTCCTGGGCAGCCTCCCCTGCCTGGGTCCTCCTGAGAGCTGGGCCTTCGGTCTGACCACACATGCGAACTGTAGGAACCGTGTCCTTCATCGCCTCACCCAGGGCTGACTCCTGGCTCTGCACTCAGGGATCACTCCCTGGTGGTGCTCAGGGGACCCTAGGGGGATGACGGGGATCGAACCTGGGTCAGCCGCGTGCCAGGCCAATGCCCTCCCCCCATGTGCCATCACTCCAGCCCTTGGCCCAAGTGCTTTTTTTTCATTCTTTTACTTGGGGTGTGCTCAGGACTTACTCCTGGCTCTGTGCTCAGATGCTCCCCGGTGGATTGCCAGTGACTACAACCTGGGCTGACGGATCCAGGGCAGCTTTATTCCCTGTGCTGCCTCCGGCCCTCGAACCCTGAAGCTTTTTCTCTCATATCCACACGTCTGAGGCCAACAGGAAGCACAGGGACCTTTGCCACGTTTCTTGGGCCTCTGGGTGACACTTTCTTTACACGGACCACCCACCTCTCTGGCTGTTTCCACTCCAAGGCTCAGCTCGTGACCCAGAGCAGACCGCCCTTCTGGGAAGCCCCTCTGCTGGAGGGTGTGAGAACGACACTCTCTCTCCACACAGGTGCTTGACTTAGTACTTAGTTTCTTCCTGCCTTCCTGCAGGTGGGCTGAAACACCGGTTGTGGCCTCTGATCTGTCCAGTCCACTCCAATAGGCCTCCGTGGCGTTTCTGTGAGATTCAGGCAGGCGTCCACGGGGGGGGGGGGGGTGTTTGCGTCTCCAAGATACGGATCATGACACACCGGTTTGGGGACATGGAGTTATTATCAGAGGGGGCTGGAGTGATAGCACAGCGGGGAGGGCGTTGGCCTGGCACACGACCGACCTGGGTTCGATCCCCAGCATCCCATCGGGTCCCCCAAGCACTGCCAGGAGTGATCCCTGAGCGCAGAGCCAGAAGTCAGCCCTGAGCACCGCGGGGTATGACCCCCAAACCAATAATAATAATAATGATAATAATTAATTATTGTATAACTGAAACCCAAGCACAAAAATTTGTGGTCTATAACTGTACCTCATGGTGTTTCACTAATAAAATTTTTTTAAAATAATAATAATAATAATAATAATTGGGCTGGAGCGATAGCACAGCAGGAAGGGCATTTGCCTTGCACTGCGGCCGACCCGGGTTCGATTCCCAACATCCCATATGGTCCCCTGAGCACCGCCAGGAGTAAGTCCTGAGTGCAGAGCCAGGAAGAACCCCAGTGCATTGCTGGGTGCGACCCAAAAAAAAGAAGAAAAAAAAAAGAGCACGGTCATGGGACAAACATTGTCATGACCCAAAAAGAAGTAGCTGGATAAGGACCCTGCTGGGTTAGGAAAGACTAATCTGACCTGAGGACTGTGGTCTGGGATATACGCGAGATGTCCCCAGGAAGAACCAACCTTTAAGCTTAATATAGCGGGGGCCTGGAGTGATAGCATAGTGGGGTAGGGACATTTGCCTTGTATGCGGCCTGACCCGGGTTCGATTCCCAGCATCCCATAGGGTCCCCTGAGCACCGCCATGGAGTCATTCCTGAGTGCAGAGCCAGGAGGAACCCCTGTGCATTGCCGGGTGTGACCCAAAAAGAAAGGGAAAAAAAAAGCTTAATATAGCTCTTATTCTGTGTCCATACAAAATGACTAACCACTATGGGTAGGGCGTTCGCCTTACAAGCGGCCAACATGGCCGACCCGAGTTCGATTCCTCCGCCCCTCTCGGAGAGCCCCGGCAAGCTACCGAGAGTATTCGATATGCCAGACACAGTAACAACCAAGTCTCCAATGGAGACGTTACTGGGCCCGCTCGAGCAAATCGACGATCAGCGGGGAGGGCCTTTACCTTTACCTTTACCTTTATACAAAATGACTAGAAATATAAGAAGTGAATTCCACTGTGATTGTTTCAACGGTTTACCAGCTGAGGAAAGGAGAAAGGCAACACGCCCTGGATGGACTCCCGCCCTTGAGCGCATCTCCTAGTGATCTGGAGTGTTGACCCCTGAGGTGAGACTCTGCTCGAGTTGTTTCCCTAGAACTTCCCCTGAAGGAGGGGCTTTCCCTCTGTTTGTTGTTATGGCGATGCTCAACCCTCCCCCTGTGTACCCCCATCCTTCACGGTCACGGTCACGGTCCTCCTGTTGTTCATCGATTTGCTCGAGCGGGCCCCCAGTAACGTCTCCATTGGAGACCCCCATTCTTCACGGTCTCTATATAATGAAGATGAAAGAGACACGTAGAGGGAGAGAACGTAGAGAAATAAATGATCACTGATACGCAACCAGCCTGGGGGCCTGTTCCTCCGTTCCTTGTTCCCTCGTTCACTCATCACCGTTGGCTGGCCTGGCTAGGCGATTCTTGGCCCATGCATGACAAATGCATGGGTCACACGCCCCACGCTTTTTGAACTTACAAATAGCAACAACAATAATCACTGTCCTCCCGTTGATCGTCGATTTGCTCGAGCGGGCCCAGGAACGTCTCCATCATGAGACTTGTTGTTACTGTGTTGGCATCTCGAATACGTCACGGGGGAGCTTGCCAGGCTCTGCCGTGCGGGCGAGATACTCTCGGGAGCTTGCCGGGGCTCTCCGAGAGGGGCGGAGGAATCGAACCCGGCTTGGCGGGGCTGGCTGCGTGCAAGGCAAACATCCTACCGTTATGCTATCACTCCAGCCCAACAACAACAACAACAACAATAATAATAATAATAATAATAATCAGACGAGATTGGGCATGTTCAGGTTGGTATGGCCATAGACCGATAGCACAGCGGGTAGGGCGTTTGCCTTGCATGCAGCCAACCCGGGTTCGATTCCCAGCATCCCATAAGGTCCCCCGAGCACTGTCAGGAGAGATTCCTGAGTGCAGAGCCAGGAGGGAACTCCTGTGCATTGCAGGTGTGACCCCAAAAGCAAAAATAGTAATAATAATAATAATAAGAGCGAGAAGGAAGGAGGGAGGGGAGAGAGGGAGGGAGAAAGGGAGAAAGAGAAAGAACCCAGAGGGATGGAAATTTCTAGAAGCCCCATCCCTCCTCGAGCTAGAGGAATCAAGAAGCAGACAGGAGTCACACAGGAGCGACACGTCCTCAGGAACTGGCCTGTTCCCACCCAAACCATTTCCTCCTCACTGTTATCCTGAGAAGGGGCTAGAACAGACCCTTGATTGGGGGGAAACCAAGCCCCACACGGATACGCAATGTCCCCCCATGAAAACAGAGAGAGGGGGCCGGAGTGATAGCACAGCGGGGAGGGCGTTGGCCTGGCATGTGGCCGACCCGGGTTCGACCCCCAGCATCCCCAAGGGTCCCCTGAGCACCGCCAGGAGTGATCCCTGAGTGCAGAGCCAGGAGTCAGCCCTGGGCATCGCCGGGTGGGACCCAAGATGCAAAAAAAAAAAAGAAAAGAAAAAAACCAAAAAAAAAACAAAAACAAACAAAAAACAACAGAGAGAAAATGAAGAAAGCACAAAGTTCCGCTTCCGGAAGGTTCCTCGGGTTTCCCTGCCAAGAAGACTCCCGCACATTGAAGCCCACGCCACCCCCCGAAGTCGGCCAGAGCTTTGGCATTGGGAGACGTGGAGTAACTGCACCCCTACAAACAGACCCTTGATCCCTCACCACAGAAGCCGCTGAAGGACTCCAAACCCCACCCCCAGGAGAGCACTTTTCTGTGTGTTTTTCTTCTTTTCTGGCCAAGGCGGAGCGTCGGGCCGTGTCGGCGGCAGGAAGAACAGAGAGATTTTTGCGAAAGATGAAATCTCGGTCGGTGGTACCCAGGGCCCTCGCTGGCAGCCCAGGTGGGGAGGATCTGAGGGTTCGAGGCCTCCAAAGCAAACACTGGCAGACCCGGCCGGGCGTGGCCCCTCCTGGCCTCTGCTTCAAAGCGCCCCTCGGTCCCCTTTCGGCTCGCTTGATGTCTGTTTGCCCAGTTTGGGTTCATCTGGGTCACGGGAGCCCGGAGCCCGGGATGGATCCTGATGCCTTGTGGTCCTTTAAGGCGTCTCTCAGGCCAAGGGGGTGGGCAGCGAACGAAGGGGGGTCTCCCCACAAAGTCAAGACCCCAGCACCCCATGAAGTCACAGCCCCCTTGCAGTCGCTCACCTTTGAGTGTGCCAGAGTCTGTTTGGCGCCCCTGGAGTTGGGCAGGAGTGTGCAGCCGAAGATGACCTAGTGCGGGGGCTTGGGATTGGGGACCTCATTTCTATGATTATGATTATGATTTGCTTTTTGGGTCCCACCCAGTAATGCAAAGGGGTTCCTCCTGGCTCTGCACTCAGGAATCACTCCTGGCGGTGCTCGGGGGACCCTAGGGGATGCCGGGGATCGAATCCAGGTCGGCCATGTGCAAGGCCAATGCCCTCCCTGCTGTGCTGTTGCTCCCCTACAAAAACCCTTCTTTCTTTCTATCTATCTATCATTCTTTCTTTCTTTCTTTCTTTCTTTCTTTCTTTCCTTCTTTCTCTTTCTTTCCTTCCTTCCTTCCTTGCTTCCTTCTCCTTCCTTCCTTCCTTCCTTCCTCCCTCCCTCCCTCCCTCCCTCCTTCCTTCCTTCCTTCCTTCCTTCCTTCCTTCCTTCCTTCTCCTTTCTTTCTTTCTTTCTTTCTTTCTTTCTTTCTTTCTTTCTTTCTTTCTTTCCTTCCTTCCTTCCTTCCTTCTCCTTCCTTCCTTCCTTCCTTCCTTCCTTTCTTCCTTCCTTCTCTTTCTTTCTTTCTTTCCTTCCTTTCTTCCTTGCTTCCTTCTCCTTCCTTCCTTCTCCCCTCTCTCCCTCCCTCCCTCCCTCCCTCCCTCACTCCCTCTCCCTCTCTCTCTCTTTCTTTCTTTCTTTCTTTCTTTCTTTCTTTCTTTCTTTCTTTCTTCCTTCCTTCTCCTTCCTTCCTTCCTTCCTTCCTTCCTTCCTTCCTTCCTTCCTTCCTTCCTTCCTTCTTTCCTTCCTTCCTTCCTTCCCTCCCTCCCTCCCTCCCTCCCTCCCTCCCTCCCTCCCTCCCTCTTTCTTTCTTTCTTTCTTTCTTTCTTTCTGTGTGTCTTTTTTGGTCCCACCCAGCGATG